GTCCCAACTTTAATTAAAGTTAGAAAAGTGTTATTGGTTTCTTCAATCCAAAAGATGAAAGCTACCTGATCATCTGCTGTCCATTGCAAAACAGAGGATAGAGTATGTGGCTCTGTTATGATCCGGAAGCCCTTTTCTTGTTCATCATCTAATGAACCTAATGACTCCTTTGACACTCCAGATTTCAGACGATAGATAGGCTTAAGGAGATGTTGTATGGGTCTTGGGATACGTGATGCGGGAAATATATCCACATGACCTGGGTCAATAATAATATTTTCACCATACCTGGGAGCATGCAATAGCATACAAAATATAAATCAAAATCCAGTAGTCACCTGCACAAACAATATTATCATAATGCTACTGAGATGTAGACAGAACACCAGAAAAAGGGTAATGTGCTTACTCCCTGCATAGCTGAAGAGCATGTAGATTTAGTTGATTCACTCGATCTAATTTTCCTGAAATAGGAAGTGGATGTTTACACTTTAGTTCCTAAAGGCAGAAAATTATGCTGTGCTAAAACTGATTGTCAGTATCAAATGAATATTTACCAGAAGGGAGATGAATGCCACCCTTCTCAAAGTCAATACGGAAGTAGCGGGCAGCTCTACAAGCTTCCTCGGTAAGCAAATGACCATCTTGCTCTGCTTTTTTCACCGCATTATAAAGAGTATGATTTGTATTGAGAAACTGTAATGACAACAATAAAAATAGCTCATAAATTCTCAATGCACATGCAATGCAAAATTGATGCAAAATATGCTACTATGACCTGACTATTCTACATCAAAGTCTTCTTGTACAATGTAGTTTTCCCCAAAAGAAATTATTGCCCATAAACTGTCATGGAAAAATGATTATCATTGTCTTAAAAAATCAAAAACATAAGGGAATTAGAACGTCTGTGGTTAACATCATTGGTCACCTCACATGTAGATATTCATTAATTCTCATGGACGCTTTGGTAGCCTCCTCCACATATTCTCTGAAACAACAAAATTTACAATGTATATATTTAAAAGTAAAACAAAACAATAAACATCACATTTCGAAATCAACATAAATTTAACTACATCATTCAAGATTATAAATAAATAACCTGGCTGGATGAGTTTGTCTGCAGAATTCGGCGGAATCAACAACAGAACAGACCTACAAAATCAAACTTAGTGAAGGTGTTTCTTAAAAATGATATTAACAAAGGAAACAATTATGAATATAGTTAAAAACCTACGGTGTCCGAAATCTCATCCATGGCACGAATTATTTCAGCCGAAGAAGGCATACCAGATATAAAATCAACCAGCTCCCCTGACCTAACAACAGAAAAGCATGAATTAATTAGAAATTAAAGGAAAACCTAAAATTATAAAATAACTGATTGTTCAGATTGGCTACTAATAATTTATAGCTCACAGAAGTGTTGAAGCTACGAGCAGCCAAAGAAATGACAACATTTTGAAAAAAGAAAATAAAAAACTTTGAGGTTATTGAAGAAACTCTTTTACCTTTCAATGGCCTCATCCACGAAGCGTTGGAAACCTTTAGGGGACTTCAAGTGATCGAAACCGTAAAGACCAGTAGGGGATCCGTTTTGTCGATCGACGGCGCGGGTTTTGAAGTGGCGGTGGTTAATGAACGGTTTGGATAGACATTGGAGATGGATATTAAGGTCGCACCTCCGGATAAGGTTCCACATTTCTTTGCCCGTACTTGAGGCGCTGCGCCGCGACTGTTTTGTTTCCGCTGCTGCCAAAAGCTTTCAAACGGGATTTTCTTTGCAGGAAAGCTAGTGCTGAAAATGGGTCAGGCGGCGTTCGGATGATCGGGTCATCGGGTGCAGCCCACAAAAGAAAAGTAGATAAATATGGACTTAGGACTCGAGAAATATTCTACCTATCTTATATGACAATGGTTAAAGAGTCCACGGTCCAATTGTTGAGCTTGGACAATGATTTTTAAGCTCGAACTTAACCAAACCCAGCCCGATGTTACATTAATTAACTAAATAATATTTTATATATTTAATTTTTAAAAAATATTTGATAATATTTAAATATAGATATAATCTTTTTAGTGATTAAATTTAGGTTCATGGACAGGTCTAAACTTAATTCTCAAAATTTCAAGCTCAAAAATTTCTAATGATATAGATATTAATAAGTACAAGATAATTTTTATAAATTAATAATTTTAATTAAATAATATTTTTAATCAATTCCGACTTAGGATCAATGTGGTAAATTTATAATTTGTTGAATCTATAATATAATAGATTTAAAAAAAAACATATAAGTCTTACTTGATATATAAATTAATAATTTTCTTATATATGAAAATTATATATATATATATATATACATGATTTAATTAGGAGGCTTTTGTAAAATATGATTCTAATACCATTTGTTTTCTCTTAAAATTAATATTTTCTTAAACCTCATCTCTTCTCATATTGTAAAAGAAAATTATGTAATGTGATTTTTGCTTTGAATGCATCTTTGTCCGAGATAAGCTCTAATAGAGAATTGTTATTATTAACTTCATCTTGTTTATCATTTTCCATTACGTTCTCAACATTTTGCTTGTCACCCAACAACTCTACAATTGCATTTTTTCAACAATTTACTTGTCACTCAATAACTCTATAATAGTCTCATTTTCTTCTTAATAATTTGCTTATCATTCAATAACTCTACAATTGTCTCATTTTCTCTCGAGTAGTTCAAAAGATTCTCAACATCCATTATATCACCATACTTCAACTCTTAGATTAAAACATGTAATTGTTGAATGTTTCCATTATCTAAGTGTTAGATCCAAATTATCTGAAATCATGTTATCCATAGATCTAATTTTACAATGTCGAAAACAATTTACAATTGTTTTTAATTGAACATCTGTTGTCCAAACCGAAATTGCAAGATTCATTGCTTCTAAAACATTTTATCTTCTCTATATTTAGGACCTCAATTTCATAACCTTTCAAAAACAATTAATAAATTAATAAATTATTAATTTATTGATTAAATAATATATCAATTAACTAATAAATTTTCATTGTCCAAAAAGTATTAATTTATAGAAATGTAATTGTATGTTCTTGGTACAAGATTCTAAACTATAAATAATTTCATATCCTTAAAATTTCATTTGATTGATATTTTATTATTTTTTATTAAAAGTGAATAAATATAAACAAACAATAAAAAGTTAAATAAATTTTGATATATATATATAAATCCTGTACATATTATCTCTAGTGTCAATAACGATCTTGAAGTCCTGGCAACTAGAGGTTTTCTATTTTCTTTTGTTTTTTTTCATAGTGCTTTATCATTTGAAAAATTGACCAATGCTCTTATTGTAAAATCTTTGTAATGTCTAATTTCCCACCAGAACTTCTACGAGAAAGAAAGAAAGAAATAAATAAATAAACTAACCAGTTATAGGATAGATTTGGTTGGAACTAATTCTAGCAACCTTGTCCTTTTCCTTTTCACATTTCAGATTAACAATGCTACTTATCCAATCCTACTTGAACCAGAGAGGATAGCAATGATGCGTAAAAATGAAGAGAGATATTAGCTTCATTAGTACCGAATAAGAGATTGGCACTGTTATTGTGGATAATTTTTGGATAAAAACAAGATTTAAATAGTAATAATCGGTTTAATTTGGATCAAATTTTATTGTATTCAGTTAAGATATATATTAAATATATGTACATGGATACATATCGATGAATAAACTGAAAATTCAAAATTATTCAAATCGAAACGAATTGAATTTTATTTTTTTTTATAAAATAAAAATATTTATTTTATTTTTAAAATTTTGTAAATAAATTCAAAAATAAAAGTTTTGAAAATTTAAAAAACCCAATAACTAAATTGGTGGAATTTTAATTTGCATTCCAAATATTTAACTCATTAGATCGTGTATTATCCTTTACTTAAAAAGCAACGTCTGAATCCCTTTCCCCTAATTATAAAAACAAGAAATTGGTTGAATTTGATTTTAAAAAGTATGTCATTTGATTTTTAAAACCAGAATTTAATCGAAAACTTTTTCCAAAATTAAACCGATCAAATAGAATCTATGCATCCTTAAGCAATTTGATGATTTATGTGCAATAATAGGGTGTTCAATTTTTTCGTTTCATAAGTTAATAGGGTGTTCAACTAAGCAAATAAAATCGTTAATTTGAAAAAACAATGGATCCCAAATCTTGATTTAGGTCAAAATTTTGTTTCCTAAGTTGATTTTTGATTTGAAAAATTATATATTACTATGTTAACTAAGTATAAATTAAATTAAATTAAATTAATATGATTTGATTTGTGATATCAAACTCAACCGTTAACCTTAATAATAACATAATTTAATTTTTATGTAATTTAATCAATTGAATTGTTATCTTTTTATTTAGGATATTGTTAGATATACTTCTTAAACTCAAACTGATAAATCCAATTTAAATTGAGCAGAATTTTTATGAATTGTGTAACTGAAATGTGATACAATTTTTTTTTCTAACCGAAAACTGAAAAAGTAAAATATCGCCACCTTACAGGATTAAAAAACAAAAAAAAAAAAAGAAAGTGTAAATGCAAAATATGTACACTTCTCAAAAAAGCGCGGGCCGCTTTTGACTGATCTGTTAATGAGGCTCGCGAGTTCGCGGCATGCACGTTTTTTGAAAACTGAAAAAAAAAATAAAAGAAGAAAATAATAATAATGCATAGGAAACCAACCTAATGCAAAAAAACTGTTATCCTTCGTGTCAACCTTAAACGCACCATTCCCGCGAAACCTCACTCTCGTCATCCCAAAATAATTTCCCAGATTTTCTTCTCCTTCCTCGAATTTAGTTTTTCAAAAAAAAGAATTAAATTAATATTTTTGAAAATATCATCTCTTCTTTTTGTAATGGGACGATGATCATAAGTGTAATAGCGCGCTCTTCATCGCAATGCCCTGAATGAAAAACGACATGTCGACGGATAAAAATGAAAATCCAACGGCGACACAGACGACGACATCGTCATAATCGTCAATGACGAAGCTCCGTAAGATCCCTCCGATCCCTATTCAGCGGTCCCAACGGGAACCAGCTGAGAAATCAGAAGGTAGCAGAAGCAGCAGCGACGATGCGGATGAAGTTGATGACGACGAAGTCGTCTATCAAGAAGAAGAAGAAGAAGAAGAAGAAGATTTTGGTTCCGGTAGTTACGATGAGAACGTATTATTTAAACGAAGCATGCGAGGCGACAATGATTCGACGATAATTTTAGCGTCTGCTCTTGGATTAAACCACATTAGAACAAGATCCAATCCACTTCCGTCTCCTCTCAGGTTCTCTTCCTCTGCCGGAACGCCTTCCAATCTTGGAAATGTAGATAGTAACCTCGGAAGGGTCTCTAATAAGGAAAAGCTGATCTCTGGAATGGAAGCCTGCACTTCTCATCCCAACCATAGCGCCATTAATGATCAAGGTACCGATCACTTTCTTCTCGAAATATGTATGCATGTACGTATGAATAAAAATTGAAGAACTTTTCTAATTTTAATTTTACCTATTTGTTTTTGGGGTGAATTTTATTATTATTCTTTTAAACTCTCTTGAACAAGGTTAAGTTTGAATTCTTGTGGAATATAAGTACCTATGATGGAAGAAATCAAAGATAAGAAGTATGATTGAAGTATTTTAAGAAATGAATGAATAACTAATTTGGTTTTCTTGGTGATTGCTTGAGTGTTTGTAGAGGAAAAAGTTGCATGGAGCACTCAATCAAAATCACTAAGGGTTCCATCACCACTCAATCCGGGGTTAGAGGTAAATTGATTAGAGGGTTTTTTTGATGAATTAGACATTTTAGATGGCACTAATGTTACACAGACTTTTCTTTTTTTGGTTTTATTCTATTTTTGTTTATGGTGGAGTAATCTTTTTGCTTTTGCCAAGAAAATGCAGTCACCACGTTTCCAGGCTATAATGCGTGTTACCAGTGGGCGGAAGAAGAAAGCTCCTGATGTCAAGAGCTTCTCTCATGAGCTTAATTCCAAAGGAGTGCGGCCTTTTCCTCTTTGGAAGTCTCGTGCTCTCGGCCACGTAGAGGTTTTTTTTTTTTTTTTTATAATTATGGGAACAGGAATTTGAACCTTGTTCTTAAACCAGAGATTACTTGTTTTTTTTCATTGAAGTAGAACAAGTAAAAAGCAGTGCAAGTTATACCAGTTATTTAATAAGCAATTCTGGATTAAGTCCTCAACTAAGTTTTACAAAGATCTTTCTTCCTCTCAATGGCTTCAAACGCAATTTAAAAGCTTCTGTTTCAGTGCTTGTGAACTCTACTTTTAATTTTTTTTTGGCAGTTTCTTGCTTTTGGTTTATCTTATTGTTGAGCTATCTTACGTTCACAAATGTATTTAATGTATCTAATTTTCAGGAGGTTCAGGTGGCAATCAGGGTGAAGTTTGACAGATTGAAAGAGGAAGTGAACTCTGATTTGGCTGTTTTTGCTGGAGATTTGGTGGGGATGCTTGAAAAGACATCAGAGTCTCATCCTGAATGGAGAGAGAGTGTGGAGGATTTGCTCCTTGTAGCACGGCGTTGTGCAAAGATGCCGGCTTGTGAATTCTGGGTCAAATGTGAAGGCATTGTTCAGAATTTAGATGACAGACGACAAGAGCTATCAATGGGGATCCTCAAACAAGCACACACGCGGCTGCTTTTTATTCTTACCAGATGCACCCGGCTTGTGCAGTTCTATAAAGAGAGTGGTTATGTTGAAGATCATATTCTGGGGCTGCACAAACTTAGTGATCTTGGAGTTTATCCAGAACAGATGTGCCAATTTGCACAGCAGAATATTAGTGGTCAATTAAGTGGTGGGAAGGAAGTAAGTGAGAAACAGAGGAAGAAATCACAGAGGCAAGAGAAAAGCAGTTTAATGATGAGACAAGATCATTTTGATCAACATGTAAGTAATGCAAATGAAAATGCAGAGGTTGGCACTGCCACAAGTGGTGATTCAGCTGCAAGCAGCTATAAGATGTCATCCTGGAAGAAACTTCCATCTGGAGCTGCGAGAAATCGTAAAGGACATGATACTACTGATACAAATTCCAAAGATAGATCAGAACAATCTCAAGCTAAAGATGAAACTCCTAGAACTGAAACTCTGGAAACTCCATCAGTCTATCCTCCATCTTCTAGAACAAAAAAAACTTCTTGGCCTTTTTGGGGTGATCATCACAGTGTAGCATATGAAAATTCGATGATTTGTCGTATTTGTGAGGTTGAAATACCAGTCGTACATGTGGAAGAGCACTCTCGAATATGTACCATTGCTGATAGATGTGACTTGAAAGGCTTGACTGTAAATGAACGGCTGGAAAGAGTTGCAGAAGCCCTCGACAAAATTCTTGAATCATGGAGCCCAAAAAGCACACCCAAAAGTACAGACACTCCATGTGAAAGTTTTGAGGCTACAAGAGTTTCTACATCAAGTACACATGAAGATATTGATGACTTGTCACCAAACCATAGCAGTCATTCACGACGATGCTCCGAAGACATGCTTGATTGTGTTCCTGATGTTGATAATGCATTTGTTATGGATGACCTGAATGTTCTGCATCATGTATCATCTGAAACGCATTTAAATCTAGCCATACCTGATCTAGGCACATCATCAGGAGGAAGCTTGACACCACGATCACCATTGTTAACTCCAAGAACTAGCCAGATTGATTTGCTGTTGAGTGGACGGAGAAGAATAACAGAGCTTGAGAATCACCAGCAGGTCATCCTTGTCATAAGTTATATTTCTGTGTGCTTAAGCTTGTGTTGAATCAATATTCTGTAAATAAGTATTCAGCATGCCCTTGCTAATTTTATTTCCAACATGACCCCTATTGTTTGCTTCCTTGATTAATGTTGATTTATTTATTTATATGCAGTTTTGATTCTACATCATTATCACGATGGTCTGACTTACTGTTTAATTGTTTATTTGCTGTTGAGAAATGTCAGCTTTTCATTTTTGCTGCCTGCAGTGACTACCGTCAAGTTTTATTTTCCTTTTCAAATAACTAGTTACTGTGATATTCTGTTTTGCATCAATAAGCTTCTCAAACTAAGACATTCACATTCTTTACTATTATGTGATTTTGTATACAGAGACCTTATGACCATCACTTGCAATTGATTTGAGTGCTCCAGTTGCAAATTCTGATGTTGATTTTAGAATATCTTTTATCGTAAATTTACAGATACACAAGTTGCTAGATATTGCTCGTTCTGTTGCAAATGCAAATGATTGTGATTACAGTACATTAGAGTATATGCTTGAACGTCTGGATGAGCTAAAATATGCCATCCAAGATAGGAAGGCAGATGCCCTTGTTGTAGAAACTTTTGGAAGGCGTATAGAGAAACTGTTACAGTAAGTTAACTTCTATTCCAAGATTTATAGTCATATATTTGTTTCTTATTCAGTTTATTGATAGCTTCTAATCAGTAGAATTTATTGGCAAATCTAAAAGATGAACTTTTAGCCTATGTTTCCATTACCATTTCATTTGTTTAATAACATTTATATTGACTGGTTTTTATTCTGTAACCACCCATACGTTCTCTGATCTATATGATTTTTTTTAAATTATAGGGAAAAGTATGTGCACCTTTGTGGGCAGATAGAGGATGAAAAAATTGACACATCAAATCATATGGCTGATGAAGATAGCCCAGTAGATGATGATGCAGTTCGTAGTCTACGTGCAAGTCCTATCAATCCATGTGGTAAGGATCGAACATCTATAGAAGATTTTGAAATAATGAAGCCAATCAGCAGAGGAGCATTTGGGCGAGTTTTCCTTGCTAGAAAAAGAGCAACTGGAGACTTATTTGCTATAAAGGTCAGTGTGTATGTAAGCAGAAAATGGCTGATACTTACAGATGCATTTTTCATATAATTGTTTGTAGTAACTAAATGTTATTTCTACTTATACAGGTTTTAAAGAAGGCAGACATGATTCGTAAAAATGCAGTTGAAAGTATTTTGGCTGAGCGTAACATCCTAATTTCTGCCCGCAATCCTTTTGTGGTGAGCTTCAATGTTACAATTGTTTTAGTGTATGCAGTTTGTGTACATAACTTGCTGATATGAATACATCTGATCATTGAACAGGTCCGTTTTTTTTACTCCTTTACATGCAGAGAAAACCTTTACTTGGTCATGGAGTATTTAAATGGTGGAGATCTTTTCTCTTTGTTGCGAAATCTAGGCTGCTTAGATGAAGATATGGGGCGTGTATATATTGCAGAAGTTGTAAGGGCCACAATTATATCCTCCTTTTTATGAGATATGTGTATCTGTGTTGGCCTCAATAAAATTCTTACAATGGTACAAATAGTTTGTTTTATATTTCTCAGGTTCTTGCTTTGGAGTATTTGCATTCTTTAAATGTCATACATAGGGACCTGAAGCCAGACAACTTGTTGATTGGCCAAGATGGTCACGTCAAGGTCAATAGCTTTGATTTTATTTATCACAAAGACAAAATCATTGGTACATAAAGATAAGCTAGGCAATATTTTATTCTGCTTGCATTGTTGGAACCTCTTCTAATTTTTTGATGCTGCCATATGAGAAAGTTACTCATCACTTTCTCACAAAGCTCTATCCTTTCTGTTACAGTTGACAGATTTTGGGCTCTCAAAGGTTGGTCTTATCAACAGTACAGATGACTTATCTGGTCCATCACTTGGCAGTAGTCGATTTCTGGAAGATGATGAACCCAAAGAACAACCTTCACTAAAGGGAGAACAGCGTCAGAAGCATTCAGTTGTTGGCACCCCTGACTATTTAGCACCGGAGATACTTCTTGGCATGGGACATGGTCAGCCACTATATGCAAATCAGATAACACATTTATTATGAAGTTCAAAATTTCCTTCTTTTTTTCTTGGCTTGAGTATTTTAGTTCTTACAGTGTTTTGTCTGTAGGTGTAGCTGCTGATTGGTGGTCTGTAGGGGTCATTCTTTTTGAACTACTTGTAGGTCTTCCTCCATTCAATGCTGAAACCCCACAGGTAGGACATCCAAAACTTAAAATGATTTCGGATAATAGTTATTTATATGAATGAATTGGTCTTCCTGTTTTTGATCAGAACATGGCTTTTTTCTTTTTGGAAAGGAGTATTGAGGCATTTTCACATAATTCAAACCAGATTTGTCTGGTTCATTATATATCAATTTTAAGATGGATTGTTCCCTCCTCTCCCACCTTTTTTTTTACAGTGCTCAGAAATATTTTTTGTCTGGCTTAGTTTTTCACTGCTCGTTAGCTTCTATAAGTACAAATTCATTCATGTAACCTGAGCACTTGATGGGCATTGTTCATTCAGATAATAAACTAGCATTGGAAGCAAAGATACATATATGGATAATTGAGCAAACTGGCATGTTGAGATAAAAAATAGCTGGTGTGGCAACAAATTCTTGCTTTTAGCCTTTGGTTAAACAAACACCTAAAACATATTTAAAACACTAAATAAAATTTTCAAAAGGAAAATGAGTAACAAAGGATTTTGAAGCCATGCTATCATTGCCTCGCTTCTGTTTGAAAATTTTGAAGTTGTGATAGGGTCTAAATTTAAGTTAATTTGATTTCTCATAATGCTCATAGTATGAGGATGCTAAAATATTACCATACAATGTAAAACACTACTCCCAGACTCCAGACTATAGATCCACAAATTTGCATGGATTTTTTTTGCTCGATCAATGAGAAACTTTTATTAAGTATCAAAAGTTGATACAAACACTCGGCAAGGCAAGAGACATGAGGAGGTAGAAGCCCAAACACCGGTTCACCTTCCTAATGCACGCCCAAGGAAAAAGACATCAGCTTACAAACATCACCTGAAAACAAATTCGCATAGATACCTCTGATAGGTAAGAAGATTGGGAAATCCTGCAGATCATTTTCCAATGAATGGTTCTTTAAATAATTTTAAAACCCACCTTTAGACATTACATCCTCATAATTATAATATCCTGCAAAAATTGAATTTCTATGTTATCTTATCTGCCCTATAACCCTTGGATGTGATCGCAAGGATTTACTCCTAGGTTCAATATGTGGATATCTTTCAATTTAAATAGAATCCCCTGAACTTAGGATATTTTTCCATTTTTAATATTCTATCATTGATAAAGTGGTCATGGATTGACATTATTACTATTTTGTCTGGCTGAATACAGCTAATTTTTGACAACATAATGAATAGAAATATACCCTGGCCCAAGGTACCAGAGGAGATGTCGTATGAAGCATATGATCTGATTGACAAGTAAGATTTTCAAACAAATGTTTCTGCAATTTATGAATGTTGAACTTGGAATAATGTTCATGGTATCTGTCATCTATCATGAAGTTTGTTACGATGCCTTTTGCTGGAAAGAGAAAAGGGAATTCCGTCATTGTCCTATTGACAGTATGTATGGTCAAAATTCTGAGTGCATTAATTCCTCGAAGTAGGTTCAGTGTTACTAGAATCTTCGTTGCTTGATGGTGACAAAATAAGTGTTGGACTGGTAAAGAAAACTTCAATGTATGAGCATCTTTCAAAGAGCATGACCATAAACTGAGTGGAATGCATCTAGCTGGCCGTGCCTAGTTGGTGACTAAACTTTAGTTAAATGTATGACTGAATCCATATATAGCTGTTTTCTTGGCACTTTTTACTGGCCATAAACTTTCTTTTAGCATTCCATCTAGCATCACATCTGATGATATTCAACTAAATAGAAAAACAAGAAAGGCTTCATCCTTTCTTCAAAAGAAAATTTAAAAAAAGAAAAAGAAGAAAGAAAGAAAGGCTTCTCCTTATATGGCAGTATTATTTAATGACAACAGTATATGGCATCCTTTAGAACAGTATGGACACCAATGTTAGTTATAGTATTGACTTGGTTATAGAGGCCCTTCAACCCTGCTGTGGGTTGAGGAATTGTGGAAAAGATTTCCTTCCTTATGCTTAAAACCTGTTGTTTTACTCCCTTTCAGATTGTTAACAGAAAATCCAAGTGAAAGGCTAGGATCCGCAGGAGCCAAAGAGGTAATCACTTAATAGCTACTAGCAAAGGCTTCTATATATAGAATTCACAATAATATTAAAGCTCATTGATTATTTCTGACAGGTGAAGCAACATTCTTTCTTCAAGGATATTAACTGGGACACACTTGCAAGACAAAAGGTCTCCTATCTTAATTTCATCATCCTTTAAAACAGTAATTGAGTTGGACCAAAAGTAAAAACGATTTGAGATTTACATATTTGCAGCACTTAGTGAGGTTCTTTACTGGGATGCAGGCTATGTTCATACCATCAACTGAAGCACATGATACAAGTTACTTTATGAGCCGGTATATATGGAGCACAGAAGATGAACAAGTTCAAGGAAGTAGTGACTTTGATGACATGACTGACACTTGTAGTAGCGGTTCACTCAGCAACATACAGGATGAAGATGTATGTGTAAATTTAAGATTTTTTTATTATCTGCTTATATCTTTTCCACAAGGAGCTACACTGGATGGCACCATGATTTGATGATGTCCGTGCTACATAGAGCAAATCAAGGATGCAATATCTATGTTCCATATATTTGGTAATAAAAGGGTTTAGATTCAATAGTTGATAGGACATGAGTTGGCTGAAGGGATTTCAACAATGATCCTTTTTAGGTGGAAGAAAAATGCTCTTATCTATAAACAGTTTACATGGACTAAGTAACATTATTTGTGTTTAAAAGAGAGAAGACTGAATAAGTTTGAAGAGTTATGATTGCCATATCCATCATCTTAAGAATTGCCTAGATATGCTTATTTAATTGGAACCGATCACCTATGTGACCATTATCATTTTTCATTGTGAGAATTCTAACGCTCATGAAACAGGGGGATGAATGTGGCAGTTTGGCGGACTTCAGTGCCCCAACCCTCGCAGTGAAGTACTCATTTAGTAATTTCTCATTCAAGGTGAAAATGACTACTCCTGCTATTTATCTAGTTCCCTTATAACTTGGCAGATGGAAATGAAATAATTGTAAGTCATATTAGATTGATCCCTGCACATTCAAAAATGGGTTTATAAGACTTTGTTCTTTTGTCTTCAAGCATTATCGTATTGGTGCACGGAGTAATTCTATTTGATCCCTAGGGATTGAGGGAGAACAGTTGTCTTTGTGAAAAAAAGAAGACAGAAATTGTATATTAGTAATGCTGCAGTGTTTGTAGAATTCACTGGAGTTTTTATTTTCACAGAATTTGTCTCAGCTGGCTTCTATCAATTATGATCTGGTTGTAAAGAGCGCCAAAGAATCAGCAGAAGCCCCCAAACCGTCTGTGCCATGACCGCGAGTTAGCAAATGTGTATATCTGATTACATTATTTGTTCATCTGTTTTCTCATGTGTCAGTTTCACCTTTGACACAATCGCTTTCATCTATGAATCCTTGAGGAAGAAATTCTTCTGACCTGAGAAGTTCAAGACGAGGTTCATCCGGGGCTCCAACCGGAAACGGAGCCGACATCTTATTTTCAACTGAGAGGTCCCAGACGAGGTTCAATGTGGGCTCCAACCGGAAATGGAGCAGTTGATTTTTCTAACCAGCATACAGTACAAATGAATTGCCGAAGCCTGTGATATTACACCCAATTCTGCTCTCTCACTCTCCACCTTTTTGTTTCCCTAATGTTATGATCACCTTTATTATTATTTTTTATGTATATAATTTCCATGCTTTTTATTAGATAATTAATGAAATCTTCTTCACAAGCTTATATGCTGCTATTTCATTGTTATCTCCTTCCTCTGCATATCTTGTGTGTCTCTAACTTGACAGGTGGCTGGCTGTAAGAACATAACTCTTCACCAACATTAGAGGTCAGGTCAAGCAGCGAGGAGCTGCGAGCGGCAAAAAGAAGGGTTCAAAGTAAGTAGCCATTCTCGCTCAAATTACACATCGTGAAGCACTAATAAGTAAGTAAGCATTCATCACTTGACTTTAAGGGACATGACACCCAATTAAGCACCAAAACCAGCGCAGCAATGTGACTGATCAGCATTCCACTTGCCCTTTTGGCATTTTTAGGCTTCGTTTTTTGGGGAGCTTCCACCCCCACTAGCCAGAATTTATGGTGAACGGGTGTGGTCTGCGGTTGAATTCCCAAACGCCTCCTCATTTTACCTTCAAAAAGCCAGTAACCCGACCTCCTGTTTCAAATCGGCCCTTTACCCCCTTTGACTTTTAACTCCGTCAGTCTAGCCGTCCTTTGTTCATACCCCACCACCACGTCATCCAAAAAATGCCACGTTATGGGATCCCCCCGACCCTGTTCTAAGCAGGCTAAAGCCTAAATCGGCCTCAAGCCCATCTAATTTGGGCTATCAGCTCCCTTAAGCTATATGTCCTACCCACACTTAATGTGTTCATTTAATTTTTATTTATATGCACATTTAAATTTATAAAAATTATAAAATAGTAATTAAAGATTAATAATATAATTAAAATAAAATTATTAATTAAATGAATTGAATAATTATAAATAGAAGTATTTTTGAAAATCCCTTAAAATGAAATTTTTAAGAAAGTCCTACATGGTTATTTTCTTAAAATTTTTTAAGTTGTCTTTCAAAAAAAAAATTTCAAGTGAACATAATTATTTGCACAGGGTGGACTGATTCTAAGTAAATTGATCATTAAAAATAAGGAAAATATAATAAAAATAAAAAATTAATTTAGTGAATCAAATAATAAAATAAAATTATTTAAAAAATTCCCTAAATTGGAATATTTTTTAAAAAAATTACAAGCTACAATTCTCTTAAAATATTGTTACATAACTACGAACGTAAAAGGATTATTCCATAATTAAAAATGTGAATAATTTGCATGAGACATGAACATATTTATTTGTTGGCATCACATATTTTTTATTTTAACAATAATAGTATGAAAAAATCTAACCGATGATAGAACTTCAAGAAAATTGTGTATTTGAAAATTAAAACCTCCGTGTCTAGCTCCGAATTTGTCTCATATCTTTATTGCTGGTTTAATTAAATTATAAACTTAAAACAGAAAAAAAAAAGTCGAAACAAAGGCTAAGTTTTTTGTCAAAAAAGGTTATCCACCTGGCATTTACGGATGATGTGGAGGTCCTAACAAAGGTAACGATTAGATTAACAGAGTTAAAGGTCGAGGGGTTGAAGGGGTATTTTGAAACAAAGAGAGAGTAAATGGGGAGTTTTTGGAATAAAAACATTGAAAATCAAAAGGAAATATGCATAAAGAAATGCCAAATAAAGAAACTGAAGTGCCAAATAACGGCTAGACTATCTCTTAGGTTTTGTTATTATTATTATTATTATTATATGATTTTATGCTCAGCTTTGTTTTCTTTATCATTTCATTTTTGAGGGGATCCATTAGCTATTAATGTACAGTAAATTACTCATTAGTTTACCTTTGAGAGGTTTCTGTCAAGTTGATCTGTGTCAAGATTTAGAGGGACCATATTTGTACATTCCGTTGAAGGCTTTTTGGATCTTCAATCTTCATATTCCCCTTTGTTTTGTTTTTTATGTTGTAATAAAGCCAAAAGACACACGTTCGTTTTGGTACACTATGCAAATGGCTCAATCTCTCTGTTTAATTACCCATGTAAACTACTACATACTAAAGGAAGGCATTGGCCCAACGTGATTTTATAATAACACACCATTTTTATTCTTTATTAAATCATAATCAGATTCAGATATATCTTGATTGTAATTTTGTAATTTTTGATGTATTTAAGTATTTAGTTCATTAATTAGTATATGATTATTTTGTTTAAAGAATAAGATTCAAGTCTATTTTCTTTCAATTATAAAAAAAAAAACCTTGTAATTCTTGATGTTGCCCTAAACCAAGCACATAGTTAATATTCCTCTTTCCTAGTTTTTCACTGTACAACTTACATATGTTTGGTCTATTGCACTAATGAAAAATCAAGTCAGCCAAAGACTTTGTTCTTCATATTAGGTGTTATAACCAAACTTGCTTGTTTACTTTATTTTATATATATACACACACACATACATATATCCAAGTCTATTGGATCCATGAAACCAATTAATTTTAAAAAATTACTAGTTTTCCTCCACATAGGTCAATGAGCATTTGTAGCTTGTGACACTACAACTAATATTTTGTTTATACTTTTAGGTAGTACTGCTTAAGAGTGATGTGAGCTGTTGCTGAGTTTATATGTTAAAAATCACCTTGAATTTCTTAGGTCTGGAGTGCTGGTTTTCAACATCCCCAAATAGATATTACTTAACAACTAGGCCAATAGGCTTCTTGGATTGAGACATGCCAAGATTGTGATTTGTAATTTATTAATCATGATTTTCTTGAACTAAGAATCATTGGGTAGTAGAGTTCCCTTTTACATTTTCTTTTTGCTTTTGCCAATCTCCCCTTTATATATTAAAAGAAGCAACTACCCAAAACAAGTGGAATAATGAGTCTAAATATTAATATCTATCTACTTCAAGCTAGCTTGGCAATGATGATGATGGAGGCTTAGTTTGGTAGTGTACACATTGTCGACTTTATTATTATTATTATCAATGTATGTGATTATTGTAAGGATGAAACCGCATTGATTAATGACATCATTGATGATTTTCTAAGTAAAAGTCTCGTTAATTTGTAAGTAAGATTCAATGCCATTGTTAATTTCAGGATGAAGAATTTCTTGAATTATGATGGTGATGTTGATGATTTGTCCCATGGTGATTACAGCTTCATGATATTGATGAATATGTTTTCTATATATATATTCACTGAGAAAACTTTTAAACTAATTATATATATATATATATGTATAAAATCAAAGCAAGTCATATTAACAAAGTTTTGATAATTAATTTTATCCAGTTTGTCTTTTTGTCATTTGTCTTTAAATTACTGGCTTTAAGTTTGAATTAAACCCAAACGATGTTCAATGAATTAGACTATCATGTCAGTATGGCAGGCAGAGAAGAGAGTGGTAACTCAAGGAACTATTTGGACAAGATAGTGGGAAAATGTATTGATTTTCTTTGTTTGGATGCTAATATGTAAGTATCAGTCGACCTAAGGTGGTCAAGAGACAATGTCAAATGTGGGACACTCTTTTGACCGTGATCAGTATAGGCAAAGCTCAGGCATGGACAACCAGTGAAGTCTCCAACCAATTTTTGCTCTTGAAGATGAAGGAAAATTTCGAGTCATCAACAACATTTAGGTCAAGTAATTGCAGCCACCCCACCTAACAAAGTTTAGTCTTTTCTTCTCAACTCCTTAAATACATCCTCTTATTAAAGAGTAAAAACCTACGGAAACACTTAGCTTCATTTTGCAAAAGAAAGGGGATATACTATTTATACAAGTTTTATTTTCCAACAACCAAAAAGATGTTTACATAGCAGATAGCACTATAAAGTTTCTTTACAGAAGATGCTATACATATATATACGTGTATGCCCTCGTCATGCTTCAACCACACAGCTCAAGGGGGGGGGAGTGGGGTGACCATTTGGTAGCACATCTCTTTCTATTCTATAATGCAAATTAGAAATCCCCATTAGCCCAATTGCAAGGGCACATCATCAAACATCCCCGGAAAAAAACAAGGGTTGAGAGTGCAGATTATCCTTACTTTCTTTTGGCAAAGTGACAGCTCACCAACTTAGTCTGAATCGCAATTATCTTTTCCATCGAGGCAGTGGTCGGCTGAAAAGTTATCTATTTGGATCTCAAGAACGTGGGAGAAAAAGGAAAAAAAAAGGAAAATTGGGAGTACCATTTACTTGCATATACTTCTTGAGCATCATGACTCTTTTTTTTCCTTTTTTTCCCCTTGTTCTTCTAAGATCCTAACTGGAGATAAATAATTTAACTGGAAATTAAGCTTAAAAAGTCCATTCACAAGACCTAATGGCCCCATTTTTTAAACTTTTTTGACCTTTTTTTTTTTTTTACATGAGTGCACAGAAGCACTCCTATTAGGTGCATGCTAGTACTTGCCACCCATGTCAAGGCAATTCATGTCAATTTCACTGAAGCCACCAATTCCAAAGCTCTGATGAAGATCATCTCCAATGTTTGGGTAGTCCAACAACCATGACAAAGAGTTTTCCTCCGATGATGAAGAAAACCCAAGTTCACTGTATTCTTCCCTGGAATCTGGGCCAGGGAAATTCCAGGACAAGTCATTGAGAAATGACTCCGACCATATCAAGTTCATCAAGGGGTCATCATCACTGCCAGACTCTGACGATGACCTCGATTCTTCGGTCGAGGAATTCTCGATTGGAGTGCTAGATTCATCAGTCGAAGGAAAGACATGGCCAGAATTTTTCGGCAACTCTAGTTGATTAGGATCAAGATTTGGCCGGCCATTTTCTTGGCAAGTTGCATCCTGTGGGGTGGCTGCAGGTTTCTGCAGAGGCTCATGCGTAACAGGATCAATCCCCATCTTAATAAGCTTTTTCTTGATATGTGTGTTCCAGTGATTCTTGATCTCGTTATCAGTTCTTCCGGGCAATCTTGCCGCAATTTTGGACCATCTAAAGAAAATGAAAACGTAAACTTCACGTTAACAATAAAAAATGGCAGTTCCATTCCAAACTGTATACTTCTAAGACCTAAGCATTATTTATGTGAATTGTTTTTAATACATTTCCTTGTACCCATCATCCAATTTCTTATGATTTTTCTTTCTATAACTACTAAGCATAGAACTGCATTATTTTAAACCAAGACACCCAGAGAAATTAAAATAGCAGTGAAAATGAATTACAAAGTCACCTCTTACAGTTCAATCGCAATTCCTACGAGTATCTTCAATCAGACTTTTGATTTGGTTTCATTTGAGTTAAATTGGATGATATCAAGTTATCAGCCACTTCTATTTTGAAACGTTTCTTATCATTCCAGTAGAGGGGGAAAGAAAAGGACCATACAGAGGAAGAAAATGGAAAGCTTTTTCTCAGAAATGAAGTTTTTATTTTATTTAATTTATTCCCTCTGCATGCATTTATTTGCCACATTTCAGTAGAGGCTGCAGTGCCAAAATCCAATCATTAGATATAAGACCCCACTAAGAATTAGTATTACTAATAGGAAGTCAAGGTTGAAATAACTCAACCTCCCGTAAAAGCTATGTAAATGTAAAGTTGATGTCTTCAAGAATTATCAAAACCAATATGGAAAAAAAACATAGTAAATGCTGCAGATGAACATACAACTAGCTAGTATACAGTAATGATCGCTAGAAAAATGTTAAAAGAGGAAATTTTTTGTAACCTATTGCCAAGACGGGCATGCAGATCAATAACAAGCTGCTCTTCATCTTCATTAAGGAGTCCTCTCTTCAAGTCCGGCCGGAGGTAATTCGTCCAGCGGAGTCGACAACTCTTGCCGCAGCGGCGGAGGCCGGCGAGCTTGGGGACGGCACGCCAGCAACATTGGCCGTGAGTGAGAATAAAATTGACCAATTTTTTGTCCTCCTCGGCTGTCCAAGGCCCCTTCTTCACGCCCAGCTTGTCGCAACAAGGCTGCCTACCCATCACTTTGAGCTTAGTACTAGTAGCGGTTGTTACACCAATTTAAACACGGACAATGCCAAAAGCCCCACTCACTCACCCACCTATATATAGTAGTCATTTCAGTTTCTTTTGGGTAAATCATATATTGATTCCGGAGGTGTCAGCAGCCCTCACGTTTTTCTTGTGCGCGTGTGGGGCACTCCCCTACGATTTGTTGGCAATCAAGGCCCAATAAATTACCCCATTGCAACCTTTCTTCGGATTTTGATAAATGAGAATATTGACACCTTTTGGTAGGTCCTCTAGGAAAGTCAGAAACAATAGGTTAACAACAACATTATGTTCATTACCTTTCTTTTTTTGTCAATTTTTTACATTGAACTGGAAAACTTTGTACAAGTCTTAAAATCTAATGGAAATTCTAAACGTTTTAAACTAATTGATAGAATAGGGATAAGCACATAATGTTTGATCTATATTCGGAAATGTCTTGCTTTAGATTTTCTTGTGGAAAATGGGGATCCATGGAGGAGCAAGATGGGGCAGGAAAGCTCATAATATAAGGTCAAAAAAAAAAAGGTAAGTTAGGCCGCTTCATTTACTTGTATGCTTTAAACAAATATTATGTTGAACATTAGTTTTAAGAATACTTTGATAACCATGTGAATCAGTGGTCAAAAGGCCTTTGTTCCAATCTTTTTATTGTGCATACATTAATGGATTAATTAAAAGTTATCCTTTTAAGTATTAGTTTAAGTTTATAATATTTTTCTACTAAATGGTAATAAAAAAAATTAAACTATTTGGATCAATAATTTTATAATAAACATCATTAATACTAACTAATAATCATAACAAAAACAACATATATGCAATACAATAAATTCGAAAACAAAATCATACTACTTGCATTGTGATCACAACAAGAAAATGAGGGTTCCCATCTCTTTCTTTCTAGTATCATGTACCATTTAAATGTTCATTTTGATTATTAATTTATGATAAATTATTTTTTTAAAAAAACATAAAAGGAAAAATCACAAATAAGTGGGAGTAATAGATTGGCGCGTGAAAATCACGCGTGTAGTCGGTGGGAATTGTGTGGGAAGGATTGTAGCATGTTTGGACCCACCATGAGTTAATGAAAGAAGCCTGGGACCTAAACATGATATGTTCCCGTGTGTTTGGCTCCACTTGATGTGTGGGGCCCGGAATTGTATGCTGCCCAATTTATTATTTATTAGTGACCCAATGTTTACAATATTTACAACTAAGCATTATCAGTTTTCCCCTTTCTTTTTTTTATATATTACTAGCACTTTTCCCTCCAACAGTTCCAAACTCTTCTATTTTCTCCCTTATCTCTCTTACTTCAGCATATCATCACCTATTTCGTCAGCACCGCTCCTCCTTTCAAACCTTTGCCACAAGATTTTCCTTTTTTTTTTCTTTTTTTTTTCCCAGAAAAATTTTACATACATAATTTACTTTATACACTTCTATAACTATAAATGAAAATTGTCCGTAGACAGACGTGGTAATATATCTATGAATTTTATTATAATTTAAAATAAAACTTCAATTATATAATTAATCTCTATATTTTGTTAAAATGATAAATATAATCTATGTATAATAATTTATAAAAATTAAATTTTTATGTTTTTTGAAATTAATAATATCAATCTAATGATTGTATTATTCTTAAATGCCACATTAACAATTCAATGTCAAGTTATCAAATTAAATACCACGTCAGTATAGTCAACAACTATATCTAGATAATAAAATAAAATTTAATATCGTTAATTATTAAATTGATATTGTCAATTTTGAAATATATAAAAATTTAAATTTTTTATAAATTATTATATGAGAATTAATTTCACCATTTTAATAGAGTATATGAAATTAATTATATAATTTGATCAAAATAAAATTACAATGCTTTTTTAGTCTCATTTTCTTGGCTTTCTTTTTTTGGTATTTTTACTCAATTTCCCCTGTTTTTTCCTAGTTTCTCGTTGAATTTATTTCCATGTTTTTAGGAATTTAAAATAAAAATATAATATTACAGATGCATGATTTGATTGATTATAATTACTCATGTTTGTATTAGTTGACATTTGCTTGTACCATAAAGTCGATTAACATTGAGGTTAATGGTACGGTTTTGGTTAATATAGATACTATTAGACATCATTGTTGACGTATTAATGCAAGCTCAAGTAAAGGGTCTTTTTTTCTATAATTTTAATTTTTTTAATTCGTTATTTTTTACGTGGGATATCATCTCACACATTTTGTGATATTCAAAGCATTAAAAATCAATACTATAATAATCTTATGGCACACCTTATTCTTCAATCATTATATATAATGGACATAATATCTAAAAAATCTCATAAACTATTTAAAAGAATTATAATAATTTTTTAAATTTTTATTATATTTAATCAAATTTTATATTTTTATTTTGAATCAAATAAGTTATTATATTTTTATTTTGAATCAAATAAGTTCTTGATAATTAATGATTGACTCAATCAAAATATCATTTATTATTTTATACTGCATGGTATGCTAACACATCATAAATAATAAATATATGATATTTTGACATATCATAATTATGATGACATGGCAATTAACTTGACATAATAACATGATTATACGATATTTATCAATATCATGTTAATACCATATAAATATAAAATAATAAATAATATTTTAAGTAATGATAATTAATTAATAATTAATTATAAAAATTTATTTGAATTAAAATAAAAACATAAAGATTTTAATTGAATATAATAAAAAATAAAAATTTATTTAATTTTTTAAAATAATTTAAGTGCTTTTTTAAGCATTATACATATATAATTCTATTGACTACTTTAACTCCACTTCTACAGCTTGTAAAACCTGCCTTGCCTATCCTTATACGAATCCACGGAATTTCTTTCCGTGCTTTCTCTATTTGGAGTCTTTGGTATTCAATTACTAGTTTACTATGATCTCTCCTTCAACCCTCAAGTACCAATACTACTTTATATAATTACTTTCCCTCAAGCCAAGTACTGCTCTCGATATTTTGATGTTATTCTCGAAATAACAAGTATTACTAATAAATTTTATAAATATTATTATTTTAAGGACTTTTTCGAACATTATTTTTTTATTTCAAATTCTCTCCCTTCACCTCTATGTTTTCGTGTCACCATAAACCATGCTTAGAAATTATGGCACGCAATTAAACATATGTTTCTAATTTTACTAAAGTTTTCTATTGGAATCGTTTAACTCATGTGCATGCTAATTGTCCAATTTCCTTTTCGACTCTCTTTCATCAACTAACTTATTAGTCTATATGTACCTAAAATTTAATTCGATGACAAGTGGGGGTATTCTTTAATATGAAGAGAGCTGAATTGTAATACCATTTTTCTTCAAAATTATACTTTGATAAAAAAATTAATTAATTGGTCTAATTAAAGGGTAATAATCATACTCTTTGACTACGTACACAATTAGGACGAATCATTAGACCATTGGTGATGTAATTTATTGCTGGGTTTCAGGTTGAGAGATTATTTTTCTGGTGGTTGTTGTAGTTGACTCCCAATCTGGTGGATTTTATGTATTGAGTTTTTGAAAGCTTAGATGCATGATTGATGTTGTAGTGACTTGTTTGTATGTCTCACTTATGAGACCCTAATTGAACATTTGTATCCTCACAGTGAATCAATGAAATATATATATATATATATATATTAAAAAAAAAAACCTGGGGCTTGTCCTTGGGTGCACCCCTTCCCTTGTAGGAGGTGGGCAGTCCTAAAGCCAAGCGAATATTAATAATGGTGGCAGGCCATAATTAAAGCAAAGACTGATTAATTACGCAAAAAATGAAACAAAGAAATCCAACACAGTTGGTTGAAAGGTCCACCTGAAAGGATTTGATTGAATACATTCTGGCTTTCAGCTTCGTGTTTCGTCTGTTGAGGACTTTTTGAGTGTTGCCGCCTCGGCTGGTGATTTGACGATACCGACCTCACCAAACCAAACCAAAGCATAACACTTTAACATTGAGGCAGCTACCCAGGTAGAAAATAATGTGTGTAATCCAAAATTTCCAACAACGTCTGCAAAACGTGCATACTTCCATGCATATGGACAAACGTATCTATAATCAATCAAAATTTTTTTTTTGACTTGTATCTACGAGAAAACTGTCTCAGCTTATTTTCGTTGCAAATGAGTTCTTTCTCCCCCTAGATAGAATCAAAACTATTTTTAACCCTATGTATTAATTTATATAAAAAATTATAAAAGATTTTGAATTTAAAAAAATTTACTCAATACATCGATGGTAGAGCTTTTAAATTTCATCAATGGAAATAGAAAAGTTGTCTCATACCCCTTTAGAGTATATTCTAAATAATTAAAAAAATTAATATGATAAATGAAAAAAATGAAGTGGTAATATTCTAATTTCGTTTATACAATTTAAAAGCTTCACTAACAATGTACACAATAATAATCTATATATTTAATAATATGGAATTTCATGATATTATATTTGTTTGGTAGACAGAGCAATTACGTTTTAACTCTAGCAAAATCGTAAATAATACTTTTGACTATAGCCATGGCAATATATTTGTTCTACGGATGACTAAAGCAAACGTACCTTCAACCGAACCCCAACCCCAACCCCCATTCCTTCATAGAAAGAGAAAAAAAGAATCTATCTGCAAAGAGTTTCGTTGACTATGTCTTGCTCTTCTTTTTGTCACTTTTTTTCCCTTTCTCTTTACTTTCTAACCGATGCACTGTTCTTGACATGTGCCTAATACCAAACAACTTAAAACAACAAATTATGCTTAATTAATTAATTAATTAATGATGTCATGTCTGAGTAGTGGGATCGTCATATTATCATTATTATATAAATTAAACCTAATGACCAACCCTAATTAAGCACTTCAAGTCATAACAAATTCTGTGGGGAGAGAAAAGATTAATAATTAATCTATCGATTCTAAAAGCAGGTTAAATTGAAAAGAGCATATAATTAAACGCCGCCTGTCTATCAATGGTGGGGGGAGGTTTTGAGTTAGTCCAACCTTGACACAACCTTTTAAGTGTTGAGGCAGCAAACCATGCTAGCCATGTAATGAGCAGCCGGCCTGCCCTTTGCATGGCACAGTACACAGCGATGGAACTAGCTGGCTAGGTGCAGTTGTGGGGCTGCCTTTGGCCCTCGGCTGATAGTTTTTGCGATTGTAAATCAACCCCCAGAAACAAAAACGCGTACTTAACAGATTCATAATGGATTTTTTTGGCTGTGGTTTGATTGATGGTAAATTATTAAACCATAAACTTCCTTTCATTTCTTTGACTTTTGGTTTTGGGCACGATTAGATGCCAACATGAAGTAAACAGGAGCTTTTGGGTGGAGCGGCTGAGACATATGTCGACTGGACACCACCTTTCCGACGGTCAGGTCAGGGCAAAGTTGATTCATAAGATCAACCACGAAGCAATGACAATTAGTAGAATGATATTTATCATTTTAAGTTAAAGCATTTAAATGTCTTCAAATACTCAAGTTTGATGTTCTAATCTCAAATATTAAATAATTAACGATCAAGGTTGAACAAGTTGTAAATTTAATTATTGTTTTTTATTCGAATTTCCCTAATTTGCTTTTAAGTTTAAAATATATATGGATGCAATAATTGAAAAAGTTTTTAAATTAATTAAAAAATTTTTAAATGAATTTTTATTTTTTTATTACATTCAATCAATATTCTATATTTTTATTTTAAAAAAATTCAAATATAGAATGATAAGTGACATTTTAACTAATAGTTAATTAATCGATAAGTGAAAAAATATATTTAATTTAAAATAAAAATATACAAATTTAATTAAATATAATAAAATAATAAATATTTATTTAATTTTTTAAAAATAATTTTTAATTTTTTTGGGATATTATGTCATACGTATTTGAAATGTTAAATTTTAAGTTCATATCGATTGCAATTTAATCATTACAATTACGAGATATTACTTGTTTTTGAACGTGGGATACAGAGCATAATAACCCTAATTTCATAATCATGAAATTAATCTTAATATGTCGGCAGTATGAACTTTATTCCAAGTTAATCTATAGTTAAATATAGTATTAAAGCTAGTTTTAGGTTTAGAATGTTGTCTTGTTACACTTTATAACGTTTGAATTTTAGGAAAGTTTTTGTACATATTATATTGATAGACAATGTCGACTTGATAACTTGTACGCAACGCTAAAAGCAAAAAGTAGAGAGATGTTCATGTTAGGGGATTTTACAGGAGAGGATTTGTCAATGGTCTAATCCAATACTCGTCAACTTGAGATTAGTAACAAACTGTTCATTTTAATGCACTTAATTAAATTTTCTCCCACTTCCAAAATAGCAATTTATCACATGCTTTGGTCCAATACTTTGTTCTAGTTACTTGTCAGTCAGAGATGAAATCAGAATTTTAGTTTTTGAGATTGAGATAAAAATAATATATATTTATTTATAATTAAAATAAAAAGTACAATAAATAGTAATTAATTGCATAAAAATATTAAAAAAATGTATAAATTTGAAACATTATAAATCATGTGCTGCATATGAAAGAATTGAATATAAGTAAAAGCCTTAAGAATATATAAGTTTTTCTTAAAAATAGAATATAACAAATAATAATAAAGTTTACCGTATCAATCACAAAATTTGACAAGGGAGGGGCCTTCTTATAAATTTTATGGGTGCCAAAATCAAAATTTTGTGTTCATCAATATTTTCTAGTGTAGCCTCTGGATTCGTCCCTGTTTTTGGATTAGACATGGCTTTTAGAGTTAGACCACACTAAAACTTGGGTCCAAAACCTCTTGATAATGCCCCAACCTAAGGCTAGAGGACAAAAGACAAAAACTTGACCCCTCTAGTCCCAAGGACTGAGGTTGAAAACCAATCATGGACCTGTCTGGCCCAAGTCATTAATGCAAAGGACGATTCCCTCTGTCTTTATTCCATCCTCTTCTTCGGCCCTCAACCCATGTTTTTCATTTCTTATTATAATGAGAAAATTTCTCCATTGTGATGAATAGGTTCTGAAACGTTGGTTTCGTGATTAAGATGGTTGTGCTGATCCAACAAGAGCCGTAGTGTTTTATATTGATGACGTGTACTTTTTACATGAATGAATATTTCAATTGAGAAAATAATAGGATTTACAACCAATATCCAAAAACATAGGGCACGTTGATGACTTGTCATCAAATCCTGATGATAATTCTTAGCATGCCAGCTGGAATATTTTGTCAGAGTAATATAGTAATCTCAAACTTCATAATTTCTCTTTTTAACAATAAATGCTAGAAGAATCATTAAACCTCTTTAAGTTTGATATTGCAATGTGACTTGAGCTTTAAAATGTAATAATTTCAAAAAACCCATCAATGGATATCAATTTTCGTAAACTTTTTTTGTAGATTAAAATTTTTTTAATAATTTTATTTTTTTGATATTTGCATTTGCAATCTAAAATCCTTTTGACTTAAAAAAATAAAATCCAGAGGGGAAGATGTTTGGGACCCACAGCAGCACAGCTGACGTCACTACCCTTACGGGTCAGCATCCTTGCATCCTCAACTTACGGACACGACACATGGAAGCGACTTACTTGTTCGACGTAATGCCTCACTAACAACGGAAGCCAAGCCATCGTCGCCAGATTTCCCAAAGGAACAGGAAAGATTTTTGAGGCACGACTGATAGTATTGAGAGGAGGAGCTAAAGAATAGAGAAGTCTGAGAGAGATGTGGAGGCGCGTGGCTTCGCTTTCTTCCGTGATCTCATCTTCGAATTCGTCCTTTTTTCGCCAGGTTCCTGTCTGTCTCTCTTCCTCCTCTACCCCCATTTCAATTTTTCTTTAAAAAAAAATCAGTTTTGATTCGTTATATGTTGTTGTTGTTTTTGTTCTTCAGTTTGATTATCCATGGCTTATGACAGTCGGTTTTTTTTTTTCATATAGGCCGCAGGCAGGTTCACCATATGGGAATCATTAACGACAGGGATCGCCCAACAGGTATTGTTTAAATTGTCAAAGTGATGATCATGTCTTGTTGCATTGGAGCTCGTGTTGCATAGGTTGAAACTTGAGACTGATTTCGTGGTAAAATGTTCTTTTTCTACTTATCTACTTTGATTGGATTATTGTAGTATGAATAAGTTGAATAAGTTAAGAAAAAGCCCCTTTATTTATGTGTTAACGGAATCATATGTTGTTTTTTTTGTCATTTTCTTGATGAATAGTTCTGCTTATAAGATAAATTGATAGGTGCCGCTTTTTAAGGCTAAGTTTTTCGGACCACTCTTAATTATGTGTTTCCAACTGTTATGCTTGGGATGCATTTAAATATCTTGCAACTCTGAGTGAAGTATTCCATTTCCTTTTCCTTTTTGCTGCGGGTTTGGTCGCTTGGAGGAGGGGCAACTTAGATTTTTATAGTTTGCAACTCACTTTAAGAGGCCTTCTTTGAGTTGAACGGATTGGGCAGAAATGTGATAGATGGCTCCGTAAGCATTTAAAATGTTTGCTGTCATTAGTCATGTATCAATCTGATTAGTTTTTGTATGACATGAGTAGTTTAAACCTGACTTCTTCTGAGTTTTGAGATCAAGTGTAAATAAGAAGAATTTAGCAATTATTTGGCTTACCAATCTTTTCTCTCCCAGAATTTGAAATTGTTCAGTTATTTCCATGTGAATCCATGTTGTTAGTGTAGATTGTTTGTTTGGTGAATTTTGACCTTTTTTTTTTAATTTCTATTTGAATTTTAGTTCCTTTTCTTAGTTTTACAATGAATTCCTCTTGCTTTAAACAAAAGTATATTTTCCATGAAATATTCATAAGAATGATTTCTTCTTGTTGGTTCATTATCTGAATGCAGGCAAAAGGTGTATCCAAAGAGAAAACTCCATTCATAACATTTGTCCTAGGTAACGCTTGTGCATTGCTTGAATGACTAAATACATCCTGTGCTTACTTTGTATCCTGTAATGCAAATTCACTTTTATGCCCTGTGATTCATATTGTGGTTTTAGAACTCTTATTCTTTGAGCTTGGGAAGTTCTGCACAAAGTTAAACCTCATGTTTCCTTAAGGTGTTTCTCTTTTACATGTTTTATTGTATTTATTTTTAAATTCCTTTGTGGAGAGCAAGGCAGAATTAAGCTGCCTACTACACATCTGGTATACTTCATTCTTTGCCGAACAAAAGGATAGGTTGCAATCTGACCTAGCTTGTACCTTTTGGCTTTCTAAGTGGCATAAAACATAATAGGTTACATGATCCATATAACAAAATTGTAATATGAATAGGTTAACAATTTTATATGTCACTTGACCTTTTATTGTATGGTTAATATGCAAAATATTCTTGAGGTTATCCAATGATATGCTAGTAGGCATACTAGCTATATACCTCGTCATATATCAAACATTTTATCCTCTATTACAATCTAAACATGGTATTGAACATTAAACGAAATAGCAGTGTGGAAACCTAGATTCTTTATGCTTGTTTGGATGGCTTTTTGCACCCTACCTTCATATTGAAGCAACTTATGACCCCAGCATGCTTTGATGAACTATGTGTGAAGTGTTCAAGTAAACATTGTTTGGGCTTGTACTTGTGAAGCTTACATTTAATCAGATCCGTTTCCTGTGCCTTTCAATTTACAGGTGGTCCTGGTAGTGGGAAAGGTACGCAATGTATAAAGATTGTGGAGACCTTTGGGTTCACACATTTGAGTGCAGGAGATTTGTTAAGGCGGGAAATAGCTTCTAACAGTGCGGATGGGTAATAATGTCCCTTCATTGTTGACAAATCATATTATCGCTCTATCAAAAACAGATCATATTATTATTAAGTAAACTATTGTAATCCATGTCCTCTGATGATATAACTTTCATTTCAGTGCCATGATTCTTAACACGATTAAAGAAGGAAAAATTGTCCCTTCAGAAGTGACAGTCAAACTGATACAGAAGGAGATGGAATCAAATGACAATCACAAGTTTCTCATTGATGGTTTCCCACGAAGTGAGGAGAACCGAATAGCATTTGAACGAATTGTGAGCCTCTTGGTTTTTGTCATTTTTTAAACAGGTTCTTATGTGATAACTGGAAAAAAATTGACTTTTTGCCAGCCAAACTTTATGGGTAGTTATGTGTGACCTAAATTTGTTGAGCTTGTCTGGTTGAAGAAACTCATTAGCAAAGAGTTTTGAGATAGGTGGAAATATTAGAAGGAAAAAGGCTATTTATTTGAAGCAATATTTATATTATTGTTAACTTAACTTTCTTTATGGAACTTGCAGATTGGAGCAGAGCCAAATATTGTACTTTTCTTTGATTGTCCAGAAGAAGAGATGGTGAAACGGGTGCTGAATCGTAATCAGGTAAATATTGATAATTTTCTGCCATAAGTTGAATCTTGTGAAAACCATTATTGAAAACTTGGAATTTTCCTTTCACAGGGCCGAGTTGATGACAACATAGATACAGTTAGAAAACGCCTTAAAGTTTTTGAGGCATTAAATCTTCCAGTCATTAACTACTACTCTCAGAGAGGAAAACTTTATACGGTATATCTAACTGTTGTCTCTTTCTGGAGCTTTATGCTATCCCTTTCTAATCAATGGTTGCTTTCATAGCATACAGATCCAAACTTCTATATTGGTTGTTGTAACTGAAGCAAATGCATGCAGATAAATGCAGTAGGAACAGTGAATGAAATTTTTGAACAAGTCCTTCCAGTGTTTACTGCCTCTGAGGTATGTTCTGTGAGCACAATCATCCTCTATATCTAGCTGTGCTGAATTGTTGATTATATTTTTGAATCATGCTCATTTTAGTAAGTGATTGTTTTAGTTAGACTTTATGCTAAACCTTTTTGTTATCTTTCTTATATGTTTCTTGTCTAGAACTAGTAAGGTTATTCTTCTTGTGACTTTTTTGAATATGTTATCACTTGTAAGAATATGAAACTTCATCCCTTTCAATACCCAGTTGGACATCTTTGCCCCACTGATTTTACATGAGCTTAAGAAGGGAAAGTACTGGTGAAAAAAATCAGTGTCCTGCCATTGTAATGTCCATACTGTTTACCAATATACTAATAGTAGGTATGACTTTTATAGTGATTTTTCCTTTTCTTGCTGCAGGTTACTGAATAATAAGTTTTATGAAACAAGAATATCACAAATATAGGCAGATCCCTTTTATCTTTCCATGTTTTGACTAAAGATGGCCGGAGGTCAGCTGACCTTCAAAATTTCTAGTAGGATCAGGAAATCTCAGCAAAAGAAGTGAGGAAATCTAGTTGGGGGAAAGCTAATCGGAGTTGAGATTAGTTCTTTGTTTTCCTAATCCTGTTTCCTGCCTTTTGGACTCGATGCTGCATGTACATAGGTCACCTCACCTACGGGAAAATTGTGCAGTGTTGCAGCTCAACTGTCTGTTTACAATGCAAGGAGAATAGTTTGGTTAAAATTGGCACCATTATATGTAGAACAGTAAGGAAGACAGATGCTTTTTATTTCCAATTACCTGCACAGGGAAAAGGAAATAATTTAATAGTTACGAGAATTTTATTTCGAATAAGGACTGTGCTATCTGAAAGCTCCTAATCCTGTTAATACAGTTTATTTCTTCAAGCTTTTATTCATTCTGAAATCAAGTGGCTTGAGCACTTAAATAACATGCAAATACATGAGATTCAGCCGTTCAAGTGCATAATCTCCCACTCTTCTATATGTTTTCTTGTGATAGTCTTGGAAATTGCATCTTACTTGGTCTCAAAGATGTCCTTTGATTGTTGGGTAGAATGCTGAGTTCCTAAAGTTCAAAATGGTCAAAGCCTTGTCAGTCCATGAGAATTTAAACATAAATGGAAATTTTGGTCCTTTTTTTTTTTTGAAGTCTAATGCGCTCATCCAGTTTAGTTCTTGGAACTTCCTATAAAGCCCATTAAATATTATTCAAACTTCCCGATCAGGTCCTCCATTTTTGCCCGCTCTTCCTTCTACAACAATGGTTGCCCTTTTGCGACCACCGAGCCTCCACTTAGTTTCGTTGACTCTCCGCTGCTCCTCCACAAGCAAGAAAAGCGAAAAACAGAAACAGCTAAAACTAAAACAGATTCACCAGAGCAATAGTACTGCCCTCCCTTTCCGAAAATCATCCCCAACCCCACTCTTAATCAACCATAAACCCTTCACCCAAACCAAACTCCAGGCCCTGGACGCCGTCGTTAAAGACCTCGAAGCCACAGTCAAAAACGGCATGAACATCACTTCCGAAATATTCTCTTCCCTGTTAGAAACATGTTACCAGTTGAAATCCATTGACCACGGCATTAAAATCCACAATCTTGTTCCCAAAACCCTATTACGTAAAAACACAGGCATTTCTTCGAAACTTGTGAGGTTGTACGCATCCTGTGGACACATCGAAAGTGCCCACCAAGTGTTCGATGAGATGTCTAAACGTAACGAATCGGCTTTTCCATGGAATTCTCTTATCTCAGGATACGCGGAATTGGGACAATATGAAGATGCCTTGGCACTTTACTTTCAAATGGAGGAAGAAGGTGTTGAACCTGATCGGTACACGTTCCCTCGCGCGTTGAAAGCTTGCGCGGGACTTGGGTTGATTCAAATTGGGGAGGCGGTTCACCGTGATTTGGTGCGTAAGGGTTTCGGGAATGATGGGTTTGTGCTCAATGCTCTTGTTGATATGTATGCAAAATGTGGTGACGTTGTTAAGGCTAGGCGGGTTTTTGATAACATTGCTTGTAAGGATACAGTCTCGTGGAATTCTATGTTGACGGGTTATATTCGTCACGGCTTATTAGTTGAGGCATCGGAGGTTTTCCGTGGGATGATTCGAGAGGGATATGAGCCTGACCCTGTTGCTATATCGACAATTCTGTCTGGTGTTTGGTCATTGAAGATTGTGCTGCAGATTCACGGGTGGATTCTTAGGCGAGGAATTGAGTGGAACTTGTCTGTTGTCAATGCTTTAGTTGTTGTATATTCTAATCATGGGAAGTTAGATCGAGCAAGCTGGTTGTTTCGCCAGATGCCTGAGCGGGATGTTGTGTCGTGGAATGCAATAATCTCTGGTCATTCTAAACGCCCAGAAGCTCTGGTGTTCTTTGAACAAATGGTGAGTGGTGGTACTCTACCTGATAGTATCACGTTTGTGGCAATACTATCTGCTTGTGCTCACTTGGGTTTTGTTAAGGATGGGGAGCAGTTGTTTTCGTTAATGAGAAAGAAGTATGCCATAAACCCGATAATGGAACACTATGCTTGTATGGTAAATCTTTATGGGAGAGCAGGGCTGATTGATGAGGCTTTTAACTTGATAGTGGAGAGGATGGAGTTTGAGGCCGGGCCAACCGTGTGGGGAGCATTACTTTATTCCTGTTCTGTTCATGGACATATAGATATAGGAGAGATTGCTGCTCAAAATCTTTTTGAGCTAGAGCCAGATAATGAGCATAATTTTGAGCTCTTGATGAAGATTTATGGCAATGCAGGTAGGTTGGAGGACGTGGAAAGGGTGAGAAAAATGATGTTGGACAGAGGATTGTATGCTTTTTCTCCGTTACAAAGTTGTTTCTGATATTGATAAATCAAGCTGAAGTTCACGTTAAGAAATTAATTGGTAAAGCTTCTAGGAGATGGCTTTAGTTCTTAACTGTGCCATCTGCATATGAATTTAATTTAAAATTCAAGCAAATCATGTCGTATGGATGAGATTACAGAGAGCTTGCAGCTATCTACCTCCGCCTTCTGCAATGCTGGGGAAGACTCCTTCCAGAGCACCAACATATATAAGAGAAACAAGAAACCTCTAGGCAAGTAATGGAGGATATGGTTCTACAAAGAAACTTCAGTTATGTTACCTTAGAGTGTTAATATTCAAAACGATCTGTAAGTATCAAATCCTTATAAATAACCTTCGGTTTAAAAAAAGAAAAAGAAAGTTACTATCTCTGTTTGCAAAAACATTTTATATGTTTCATAAAAAATACACTATATTACGTGGGAAAAATTAAAATTACAAAAAGTGTAAGTGAAGTTTAATTTTTTTTTGTATTTGGCAATTGAGATCTCAATCACCATGTTAATGGATCTTTAAAATATGACATTCTTCGGTAATTTGAGTAAAGATGAGCACTTTTTTTTATTTTAATATAATTTGTCTGCAGTGACGCCTGCCCTAACTTAAGCAGCCATGTCTGAAAACAGATCTTTTCGATATTCATCATGTCTGTCTTATTTGATCTTTTGAAAAACTACAAGTAAGCTTGACATCAAACACTTATCTTTTGTTCCATTCGCTGAAGCAGACGTCTTCCCCTTACGTGGATTCATGAACGTGCCTCATTTATTTAGACCAAATATTTAGTTTGTTTAGACCAATCAAGCTGGCAAATTAGTGAATTATGCTTGGACAACATGTGTGAATTAGCTGTTATTTGTCATTGCTTGATAGGGAAAGCTGTCGCATTGAGTAGATAGGATTTTTCTTCCCCTTATTATAGATACCTTTTTTATTTGGCATGTTTTTATTAATTAGTAGAGACTTATTTCAAGTCATGCAACTTGATTACAGGTTGATAATAGAGTAAAATTGTCTATGCAGAGCTCGAATTGAGATAACTTAAATTCTAAAGAGGTTGAAAGTTAAAAAATTTAACATTCAGTTTAACTTGATTTAAAATAATTTAAATTTGAGATGATTTAATAAAAATTCGATATGATCCGAATTATATATAAAATTGAAACAATCGGAATTGAAAATGATTCAAATATGTTTATATGTACAAAATATTTAATAAGTAATATTAAATGTCATTGTTCAACATGAACAATGATAATAATGTTACGAAACTAAACATTCGAAGATAACTTCTAAAATACCTTAATAGTATAAATAAAGGGCTAAAAGCCTAAAATTACATTGTTTTGTCTTATTTATGTGGGTACTTATAACAGAAATTATCTATTTTTATTTATTAATTAGAGTCAAAGTTTTATATATTTATTAATTGATTTTAATCCTTATTATTGCGAAAAGTAAAAAATCCTTATATATAAGATTTTTCAATTAAAAATATAATTTTTATTTTTAATATCATTAATATCTAGAGGTATTAATCTTAAACACTATATGAAAAAAATTTATCTAATCAATATGATATATTAGCTATGCTCCGTTTACAGTTTTAAAAAAAGTTAATATAATGTTATTTAAATGTGCGATTGATATAATTAATAATATTAATAAATTAAATATATTAGAAGATAAAAAGAGGGTGTTAATTTTAAATTTTTTAAATCTAAATCATCTAAACCCGATTCAAATTTTAAATAATTCGAATTCAAAATGATTTTATTCGTATATAACTTAATTCATATCGATCCGAATATTAAAATAACTAGACAGATGCATATTAACTAGAACCCGATCTAATTTGATTTAAAAAGATCACAAAATTCAAAGGCAGGTGATTTAAAAGAAGCGAAATTGAGTTGGCCCCACCCAGATTGCTAATATTCTTTGTCCATCAATATTCCATCCATGCATAATTGGGTGTCTAAACTAATTAAAACATATGCTTTTGAGCTATTTGCAAAAATTTAGGTTTGCTCCGAAACTGTCTGTCTCTCCTTTTTCCTTTGATTTTAATGACGTTTTTCTTGCGCGTGTACGTGTGTAACAGCATAACGTCATCCTGGACGCGTCCGCTAGCTCTGTCATGAAATAAATGTCCACTCCACGTGAATGGCGCTCCATTCTCCGACCTAATGGCCCGCGGTGGTACTGCTGCCCGTGAAATTATCAGGCTCCCAGAGAGAGAAAATAAAAGCAAGACTAAAGCCGAGTATGCCTCGCAATTTCCGGCAAGATTCCGTTGCCGACAAACTTCTTCATGCCTAATTAGCCTTTTCATATTGGTTTTCGGCTTTTCGCAAAGTTTACTTTTAGCTTTCACACTTCTTTATTGACTGCCTCTTGTTTGGCATACATATGTTTCACTCTCCTTTTATGGTTTTCCAAATCCAGTTTTCTTTTCAATCAACAGTCATCGTTGCCGGTAAATAGATGCTTGGTAAGGGTTGCCTCTACCAAAACTGTCAAACTACGACGTTTCCAAGTCAAATTTTTGATGAATAAAATGCTAATACCGCAAATAAAGGGGTAGGGAAGGGGTCTAAAAAATTGCTGAAGCTCGAAGTAGAAATTCTGAATTAATTGCTTTGAATTTGCCCAAAACAGATCCATGTGCCACATGGTTGACATCACAAGTCGTAGACTATCGGCCCCACTTTAGGGACATATCCTTATATGAGAAACCCCACCCATTCACTAATGACCATATCTTTTTTTTTATTTTATTTTCTGAAATTCGCAACGTTAAAACAAAATGTACGGTATTTATTTAAGCCAAGTCGGTAGTTATAGGTGGAGGACCTGCCTGTGTTTAATTCTTATTTAATGCAAATGTACGAGAAGATGAAGAATCAGAGCTTAGATCTTGCGGACAAAAATACTTCACTAACTTTATTACACGCTTAATGAGGTTACCCCTATTCGCTATTAGCAAAGTTGAAAATCCAACACCGATTACACGCGTTAGACCACGAGCAAAGTGTCCTTTGACATCAAAGCTTAATGTCAAGTTTATCAAACCCTCTATAAATATAGAACCATGTCAGAATTTTTTTATCCAAGCTGCTCTTACTCACAAGTTTCCACTTTTTTGGCTCTGCTAAAGAAAAGAAAATGGCAAGAACCTCCCTTGTTTTCCTCTTGCTTTCCCTTCTGTACATGGCTTGTCAGGCCACATCTCCATCGGCTGCAAGCTCTCGTGCCTCGAATTTCATCAAGGCCTCATGCAGTGCCACCAAATATCCAGCACTCTGCGTGCAGTCTCTGGCAGCATTTGCCCCTACAATCCAGCAGAGCCCACGGCAGTTGGCTCAGACGGCCCTGTCTGTGAGCCTAGACAGGGCTCAGTCCACCGAGGCATTCGTGTCCAAGATGAAGAAATTCCAGGGACTTAAGGAGAGGGAATACGAGGCAATCAAAGATTGCATTGAGGAGATGAGCGATAGCGTGGAAAGGCTCAGCAAATCAGTGCAAGAGCTCAAGCACATGGGTCAAGCCAAGGGTCAGGACTTCTCGTGGCACGTTAGCAATGTGGAGACCTGGGTGAGTGCCGCACTAACCGACGAGAGCACCTGCGTTGATGGCTTCGCAAGCCGGGCCTTGGATGGTAAGATCAAGGCCTCGATTAGAGCCCGTGTCATGAATGTCGCTCAGGTCACCAGCAATGCTTTGTCGTTGGTTAACCAATTTGCCTCAAAGCAGTGATCAACCAACTGTGTTGCTGTTGCAGAAAAGTCAAAACAAGTGGTCGACTAGTCGTGGTTTTCTTTAGAGGCTAGCTTTTTGTCAGTTTTATCATGTGCTTTGGTTCTGAATCCTTTTGGCTGTACATGTAAGCTTTTCTTAGCAAGTGGAATGCAAACAGATCGTGTCCTCCTTACTTTATTGGATGCTGCTTAGACTTCGAGCTACTCTTTTTTTTTTTTTCCTTTGGTAAACACGCCAAATAACTACTCTTACTCTCTGTAGCCTTGAATTAAGGGATTTTTCACGCTAATCACCGTGATTTGCGGACAGCTTGAAGGACCATAATCTTCAAGAAAAGTGTCTGTCCACATTATATATATGAATAGCTACTAAGACCTTATTACATAGGTCTTAATTTAGATACTACCTAACATCCATTCACCACTTTTATTACAACTATTTGCATTTCGTAATCTCACACGTAATTATTATCTAATATATCCAATATTGAGTCTACCCATTCATATTACTATCATTTAGATGATTAGCACTTCTCATACATATAGTAGTTAGCATTTTCTTCACTGGGAATTAAGATGTTTGTTAGAGAATGACTTACGAGCATTAATTAAGGTTTCAATACAATTAATCCAAAAACTTATGTACCCATCATATTCACAATTAAGAGTTTGATTTTTTTTAATTTAAAAGCTATTATAAAGTTCTTATGAAAAATAATAATTTTTAAAATTAAATTAAAGTTGTTTGGTAAACTGTTTGGTAAAATAATTATATAAGTTTTAATTTTGATTAAAATTATCCATCTTTAATCACCTAATAAATTAAAACAGAACAAAACTGTTTCAAGTTTATATACGATTTCAGTTGTTAAAATAAAAAAATTCATAAAAAGAAACAACTGTCAAGCTTATATAGTAGTAATAATATTAGATTTTTATTGATTTAGTAAACATTTGGACTATGATGCTTCAATTTTCCAAAAAAGAAGAGAAAAAAGGAAATGATATATTTGACATTAGAATCCTTTGGTGAGGAATAGAGAAAACTTTTAAATAGTATTTGAATGCAGTTTTAAATTTTAAGTCTTTTTTTCCTTTAATCTTGATAAGAATTGAAAAATCTAAAACAATCTTAAATTTTTTATTCTATTGTTAGGTCTTATGCTTTTTTTCTTTTTTTAGTAATCTTTATAGAGAGAGGTAGAGGAAAAGAGATAGCGATACAAAGAGAGAGAGAGAGAGGTTGATTGAGAAAATAAGATATCTTTTGAAAAATTAGAGTATTTTTAAAAGAAGAGAAGAGTAAGTTCGTTTTGGAATTTTTCTTTAAGGTTTTTTTTTTAAATTGTGTTTTTTTTAAAAAAGTTGTCCTTAGTAAGAGCTTGCAAAAATCTTTTAGCTAAACTTTTGCTTTTAAAAAATACATAAACTAAAAAAAATCAGATCAAACAGACACTAAATTTTATATTTAATTTGAAATATTTTTAACTATAACATATTAAAAGAGTGTTTTTAAGTTATCAGAAAAGATTTACCCTTTTAGATATGACAAAATCATTTCATAAGAGCTAATCCTATATCCTTTTTAGAGTACCCTGCACTCTAATAAAATCACATAATTAATACATGGGACTAGAGAGCCGGTAATGTTTTGTAGAATTTATCTCTTCTGAAGAGAAAGTTCAAACTGATCAGTATATGTTCTGGAAAAAAATCAATTAAGTTTGCCAAGCTAAGACCAAATTTTCTGTAGGTGGATTCTCGAGCGCTTTGGGTACGTTTTTTCTTTCTAATGTAAGCAATACAGAGAGCCACGGCAGCAATTCGTCACCCAAAGCATTGAATGCTCCCAATTAAGTCTGGACCATGAGGACCGACACTATTGTTTATTACTCCACACGATTTAAACTAGAATCGAAATATTTTCTACTATGTATTGACAGTGAGACTATATTCTCAACATGGTGGTAGCTTCCTTATTAGCATCTTTTAATTTTATACTTTTCAACTTTGAAAAGCTTAGCCGTTTATTTAGCATAAGCCTTTTTTGGTATTTGTGTTGGTTTGTGCTGATACTCTTTTGCACCACGGATGAGAAGGTGCTTACACTCAGCTTCTATACCTTTGTAGTAGTTTACTTGCGTCTGCCTTGAGCAGGTCTTTAATGAAAGAGATTATATTTGATTAAAAAAAAATTGAAATATTTTCTTCTGTTAGAAGTCAATTCGTACAACTTAAACACGTTTGTCCTTCTTTTGCTCTTTATATATACGGTTAATTTTATTGAGAGAAAAAGAAAATTAACAATAGTTGTAGCTTAAAAAATGTTGGACTAAAATGTGACTCTGGTGACGATGGTTGGTTGCGAAAGCCGTAAACGGATTGGTAAAGAGCAGCAGACGACCGGTCTGGGTGGGGAAGGACTGGCTGGCGAATGAGGTCCCTCATCAGACGTCGGAGATGTGAGTTGTTCAGCCTTTTGCTAAATTTCCCAAACTTAGGCAAAAGAAAAACTTAAAAGTCAAGGTAGGAACTAAGAATTAAAAAGAATTTATTCTGCTGTGCTTTGCTCTCCATCCCTGCCAAAGTTCAAAGGATGGGGAACCATCATTATTTTACAGATGACAATCATCTGACGACTAAAATCCAGCAAGGAAAAACATGAATGCTTACAATTTTCTTTGCATTCTCCTATTAATATTATGGGTTCTTATTGAGACGTGTCGACAACTAATCTTGTAACATAATGCATGTTGCTGTTTTTCATGGTTTTCCTCCCGTTCCTCTTGTGCCAATTTTTTCTTAATAAAATCTCAATTATATCTTGAATAAAATGTTTAAGACACATTACATTCTACTCTCGTAGAGATAGAGACATTGCTGCAAAAGAAACTTTATTAAATGGTTGTTTTTATCGGTATATATCACCTATGTGGTTTAATAATAATTTTTTTTTGAATTTTTATAATTATATGACATGACTTGAATAGAGAGATATATAAGATTTGCTAGGCTTAATTAGAATTTTTATAAAAAATGTTGTTCAAGTAAAACTGTTTTAAAAATATTGTAAAGAAAAAAAAAGATAACATTTAGTAATTTATAATAGAAGTGCTATACAATAGGCAACTATTTAACAGTATTTTTTGTTTATTTAAATAAACAAAAGAATAAAAGACTCAATTTTTATTAAACTAAATTGTAAGTTATTGAGTGAAACAAAATAAAACAAAGAGATCATATTTTTCTTCATTAGGCAAAAAAATGAAATCGATAGAAAACTTGGACCTCATAAAAAAGATGAATTTAAAATAACACAAATCTTCTTATTATTTTATGAAGTATTGAAGAGTATCATGAACATAGTAAAAAAATTTATTAAATATTTGTTAGGACTTTTCTCATAAGCTAAATATTTAAAAATTTTAAGAGTCAAATACTTTGTTTATGCTTTTATAATAAAAAAAAAGTTGTTCCTTAAATCAAACGCGCAACACCCTCGTTTTGATGTGAGAAATTGTTTCTTTTTGGAATTGCTTGACTTGTTAAAACAAGATGACTTGGATAGTTTCCCTCCTCTCCCATTACATTGAATGCATTGGATACGTATAAATGTGGCCTATTTATCATGGAATAAACAGACAAAATAGAAATAAAATAAACCCTTCTTGTTAGGTTTACATTTTGCAAAGAAACAAATAAATAATTAATAAATATACCAGAATGCTGCATTTTTACTCGTCAATCTATAAAAATATTAATTAAATATCAAGCAATGCAGTGATACCCACAGCACATTTTTCATATATAAATGAATGAGACAATGACGTGCTCAATTTCACATGCGAGAGTTCTTTCTTCAATCTAGTAATTACACACATGAAATGTGGAATTAGTTAAACCAAGTCACCAACATTTTAATATTCTTGAGTTTTCTGCACAGCGTATCTACTAGAGGAGGGGAGCACGTGCCACATGGTGCAAGATTATTTTCTTATTTTGTTGAGATTGGGATTAATTATGTAATTAACTTGCAATTATTTTAATTATTGGCACATAGGAGCAGTTTTACATTTTAAGTCGGACAAAACAGATTGAATATTATTGAAATTTACTAAATATTAATCTTAAAATTCTAAAATCAAATATATATAACAAGTATAAGAGCATATGCAATAAGAAATACAATTTTACATCATTATTGTATCTAGTGGATTAGAGATAAACATAATTTCAGATACATATTGCACCCTTCTAATAGAATTAACTTACACCATATACATCTGTATTAAGCCTTTCAAGAAATATATATATATATATATATATATATATATATATATATACACATCTGCATTAAACAATAAAACAAAGATGATAATTAATGATAACACTTCAGTAATCCAGTAAATTGAAAAGAGCCAAACAATTGCTAGTCATTTTGGCAGATACACCACGCTCTTCTTGATTGTGTTGTTCACAGCTTTGCTTACTTTCTGGCCTTCAAATTCATCCGTGCATGTGTACTCATTCGTCAGGGCGGCGCTAACCCAAGTCCTTACGTTACCCATTTCCGTCCTACGTTCCGAGCCTTGCGCCCTGGCCATTGCTTCAAGGAGTCCGTGAGCTCGTCGATGGCATCACCTACAGTTTCAGAACAATCACGGATGATTTCGGTTTCGGAAGGACTTAACCCCTTCATTTTTGACAGTGATTCTATTGATGAAGACGTATTGCGTGTGGCATTTAGCGTTAAGGACAAGACTGTGTCGCAAAGCTTCTGGGGATCGGTTTTAATGGTGGATGCAAAAGGGGAGAGAGCTTTGTTGCACTCTTTGGGGTACCTGGTTGTGTTGCAGGCTGTTTTGATGAAATTTTTGTAAGTTCTGGTAGAATTGGCTTTAGTAGTCACAGCGCCTGAGATTGTCTGCATGTTTGACATGAGAAGAGGAATGGAAAAAGATAATAATAAGACTTGGAGCAAATGCAAAGAAGAGCTTGACATTGTCAAACTTTTAGCTTCCATTTCCTCCTATGTTGTATTTTGCTGGGCGTGTGGACAAGATAATAGGATCACAATTTATAGGCAAAAACTGTCAGGTGAGTAATGTTTTAATTTTTGGGGAAAATCAATGGAGTTTGATACGACATGTTAAATGAGGTGGCAGAAGACGATTCGTGATTAAATTAATTCATCAAGAGATTTTCTAGATGCTAAGCTGGCAACATATCAGGCAAGCAATTTGGGTAGATTATTTTCATCTTTGAGGAAGCTGTGAGAAATTATCCTTTTTATAAGTCTAATTTAAAAATATTCTTTATTATAGTTTTAATTATTTTTAGTTAATTTTTTACATGATTTGATAATAATATCTTTTAAATAATTTCAGAGAAACTAAAATGATTTTCGTTTTTTTTATCTCGCCATTCAGACAAAAATTTCAAAATTAAATTTTTAATTTCTCACTTTTGTCAAATACTGTCTATCTCGTCATCTTAACTCTTTCTCGCCATCTCAAAGAGCATAAATGATATCAAAGTATGTGTTTTAGATTCTTGTGTTTATTAGTTTATTCATAGAATTTCAAAGTTGAGGGATTGAAATTAATTAAATATATCTGTGAATTAGAACACTATATGATCTTAGCAACTTAAATCTGGCTTCGAGTAAACAAATCAATTAGTTATTAGGTATTACATTACTAGTTTTTAAGTATTATGTCATTGGTTTTTAGGTATTGTAAGACTGATTTTTAAATATTGCGTGATTTAATCATTATGTCTTTGGTTTTTAAATATTGCATAATTGGTTTTAAGGTATTGCGTAACTAATTTTTAGGCAATGCCTAAGTCACACAATATTTAAAAACTAGTTACACAATGCCTGTAACCAGTTATGTAATATTATTTAATCAGTCACGTAATATTTAAAAATTAGTCATGTAATATCTAAAAATTAATCATGTAATACCTAAAAACTAGTTATATAATACCTAAAAACTGGTTACGTAATGCTTAAAAACTACCAAAATTACTGAATTTCATTTAATAAAATTAACAACTTCAAATAATATACCATATTCCATTTAATAATATAATCAACGAATATGCCTACTTGACAAAGAATGCTCAAAATGCTTAAAGATTTTTTTTATATATTACAAATCACTCAAAAATATTTAAAAATGCTCAAAACATTCAAAGGTTGTTCTTTGCGTTTCAAAAATCACTTTAAAAAGTTTAAAGGTCTTTTTTCTTGATAAGGAATATTTTAAAAATGAATGGTGTAGCGAAGAAAGCTCAAAGAATATGAGTCAATTTGAGACATGGATTTAAACATATAAGTCAGTTTCATTAAAGGTAATTTTATCTAAAATTAATTTTTTTTAATTAAAAATAATTAAAATTATAAAAAAAGTTATTTTCAATCAGTATGGAAAGTATTTTTGAAAAAACCTATTTTTTTAATTTTTTAATTGTGTTACGCAAGATATCCACCATTGGCCAACTTACAATTAGTTACAGTATGAAAGGACTTTTGTTCGTTGGACTTAAAAGCCAATACACTTATTTTGTCCTATAATAAAAAATTACATCAAAGATTGAACCGATGGTGTTTTCAATCTGATCGATTCAATTGATTGATTCAATTTCAATTTTTTTATAAAAAAATTAACATTAATTGTATATTGAATATAACAAAAAATTATTTGACTAAATAATTAGAGTTATAATGACATTTAAAAAGAAAAACAGTTTAAATTTTGTTACTTAAAAATTAAAAATGAAAATTTTAACAAAAAATCAGTTTAACCGATTTAAAAATTCAATTAAATTTATTTAATCAGGAATGGGTTCACTTTCCTGTGATTTAACCCCTTAATTGAGCCGGAGAAATCACCAATTTCATATTAAATTGGTATGACCAACCGGTTTGGTCTGATTTTTTCAACATTATTTTTATTCATTTCTCAGTTTCAGCTTGCACGTGATTAATACTATGAGATTGTAATAAATAAGATAGTTAATTAGTTATGATTCTACACATGTAAACGCTCATTTTTATAATATATAGTTATATTATCCAAATATAAGTTTCAATCTTTAATTGAGAATGCATTACTGATAAAATTTTATATATTAAATTGGGGTTTTAAATCTTATTAATTCTTAATTGTATGCAAATAGTGACAGGCTGTTTGAACGTATACCTGCATCTACACACTTAACGGAGTGCACACCAATCTCTCATGTCGTTATCACCATCCAGTAATCATAAACATGCTAAATATGGTGCATGTGTTTCTTAGAATATATCATAAAATATGATATGAATTGAAAGAAATTTCAGTAAGATGCTTCACACTCGGTTTCTTGGAACCACTGGGAGTTCATGCCTGTAAAATTTTGTAAAGCTGACGTGGTATTGACTTATTTTTTATTTTATTTTCACTGCTTTTTTATTAATTTTTATAAAGATGAAAAAAATGAATATTAATGTCGTTTATATTAAAATTTATATATTTTTATGAAAATGATGTTTCATGATTTTAATATAAAAAAATTAAAAAATATATAAAAATAAGAGTATTAAGTGTTAAAAATTAAAAGAGAAAGACATCGTAATGGAACATTTCCAAAAAAGAACAATGCACGGACGTAATGGCTTTGCTCTTTTTTTTTTTTTCCCTCTTTCCTTAGTTAAATAAACATGGTCTAGCACATAAACATATTCTTTGAGTAAACTATAATCATGTGATATAGGAGTAATATCTAATAATAATGTGATACAATATCAATATGTATGCTATAAATTTTGTACACTATGAATTATATTATTGATGATCACCACCTTATCAATAACATTAAATAGTAAATATTTTTTGAACAATTTTGATCAGCCATTTACAAGTTATGGTTCAATTAATAGTATGTAAAATTAGGCATTGAAAAAAACGACTTGGATCTAGATTGTCTCTATCCGAATATTAACAGCAGATGGGCTTCCCCTATGTGGAAGAATATTATTTCCCCGCTATCTCCCTCTAGTCCTCATTTCATCCATGTGGTACCCAACTTTGCTTTTACTGTTGGAAATGGGGAAAGATTAAGTTTTTGGGAGAATGAATGGATCGAAGGATTAAAGCTCAAAGACTCTTTCCCTCGCTTTTTTGCTCTTGCTGTTAAAAAAGTAGGGAAAATAAAAGATTTCGGAATTTGAGAAGGCGAGAAATGGGTGTGGAAGGTTGAACTTAGGAGACCTCCTTTCGGGTAGGAGATAAGGCAGCATAGTGAGCTTTTGAGAGTCATTGTGAAATTTCATCTTAACAAAGAAATGAAAGGTGAACTATTGTTGAAAGGACAATCTAGTGGGACTTATTCTCCCAAAGCCTACAGTAAAAAAATGATGAACTATGTAAGACCAAGTAATGAGACTAATATGTGGAAATGGGTGTGATGTGGGGGGGTGGTGGTGTGCGTGGTGATAGTCCCTCACAAGGTGGAGGCGTTTATGTGGCAACTTATGCATGGAGGGATTGCATTAAAGGCTGAGCTTCTGCGAAGAGGACTTCAAGCGAAGAAAATGCTTTATGTAGCCTTTGTAAAAGCTGCATCGAAACGGTTGATCATCTTTTTGTTATGTGTGACAAAGTTTGGACCTTTTGGTACTTATGGTGTAGATGTTGGGGAGTTACTTGGGTCATGCCTAGAGGGACCAAAGAACTCATATATACTTCAGCGCTACGTTTGGAGCAGAGTCTGCCAGGATTCTAAGTACTATTTTTCAGTATTATCGAGATTGGGCATTGGGGAGTATGTGTAATTTAAGTTAGAAATCTGGAACCATTATATTATTAATTCAAAATGGAATCTTAGTGTACTGACAACAGACTGATCCTTCTTGTTCTTGAAGAAGAAAAATGTTATTGGCACCTGGGAACGAAAAGAGAGGGCGGTGATCGTATGTGAATAATAATGGTGAAAACCAGGTTCACGTGATGAAGCCTTGTTCCCTTCATTAATGAATAGACTTGGAAACTCTTTCTTCGGTTGATTCATTCGGCAATACATTTCATCTTGTAGCAAAATCAAACCGCAAGTTTCTGCAAATGCGTAGGATGCTGGTGCTTCAACTTGGGCGAACGGGTTAATGATTTATAGGAGGCTCTAGGTTGTCATTTTTGCTGAAATGTACAGAGAAGTGGATCCGGTTGTAGGGAATGATGCTATCCTGCTCCTTGGGGTATTTTTTTGGTCTTGATAGGGCCCTTGTTAATAGTTCAGTAGGTTGTTTGATCCCCTATGCAACCTGATCAGTTTTTCTTTGCTTTCTCTTTTCTCACGCAGGACAAGCCATAACAGAGAGCTTCATGTCCTGTATGTGCTGTCTGCTCTATTATACCACAAAATTGTAGCTTTTTGTAAACTATTACCAGCAACGAAATCACTAATTGTCCTTCAAAAAAAAAATAAAAAATTGAACTGCAAGAAAATGTTGGGTAGGCCGACTGCCTGGAAAAAGTAACGCTGTGTCTTTTTATTTCGTATTCACAATATTAATGCATGTAACCAAAGTAGAGAAAATTAATTTCAAACCTCTGTTCGAACACTTAATGCAAAAGTTACTCTTTGGCATAATACTTCATCTAGTAATTGACAGCATCGACAAAAGCCAAACAATTGCTGGTCATCCTGGCCAGATTCAACACAGTCTTCTTGATATTCTTATTCACTGCATTGCTTACTGTCTGGCCATCAAACTCATCCGTGCATGTGCTTTGGTCTGTTAACGCGGCGCTAACCCAGGTCCTTACATTTTCCATTTCAGACCTACGATCTGAGCTGCTTCGCAAATTGGTCATCACCGTCAAGGATTGCTTGAGCTCGTCGATTGCATGGCTTACGGTTTCAGCGCAATCACGGATGATCCCTCGTTCAGTAGGAGTTAAGTCCTTGAGTCTCCACAACGATGATATGGAGGAGGAAGTTTCACGAGCAGCTCTTATAGTGATGTATAATGTAACCTTGTAGAGCTTCTCTGGATCGGTTTTAATCGCGGATGCGTACGGGGAGAGTGATTTATAGCAATCTTTCTGATATGTGGCCGATTTGCAGGCTGTTTTTCTGTAACTTTTGTAGGTTTTGATACAAGAACTGTTGGTGGTTTTGGCTGGGACGGTTGGAATGCTTGACATGAGAAAGAGAATGGCAAACGAAAATACGAAGATATGGGAAAAATGTAAAGAACAACTTCTTAAACTCTTAGCAGCTGCCATTTCTTCTTCCTTCTTTGTTTTTGTTGTACTAACGAGGTTGCAGTTATACAGGATCGCAAATTCAAGCTTTATAGTCAACGCTCAGATGGGTGATTTTTTTTTTCTTTCAATTATTATTGTTTTAATTCGAAATAATGATCAATGATCCAGTATTAATTTGCAAATTAGAGATCTTGCAGAGCACACTTACACGCTAAGTCAGCTGAGCTCGATTCGAAACATAATCCGATCTGTCCGATGCAAATAATCAAACAGCATTCAGCTACCTGCACGCAGTTCATTAACATATTCCACACATATTCAGCAGAAGAAGAAAAAAAAAAGGGAAAAAGAATATGTTCTCACTTTGGATGTGTCCATGGTAATACGAGGCTTGGGCACATTGGGTAAAATACAAAAAGTTTTGTCAAAACATTTTTAAAGGATATTTTGCCTTGTTTGTTTCAAAATAATGTTTTTGATTCTTTGACTATTAATACTATTAATCAACTGTTAAAAAGAATTAGAGTTAATGCTACATAAATATTTTAAAACATAAATGTCCTCTTAAAAAAATCTGTCCATATTATTTCCAAAATTTAATAAAATTTATAAATTTGTTCATTTATAAATCCCATTTTAAATTTTATTAAGTTTTAAGTTTTTTCTTGTCAAATATTGAATGTTATTAAATATTAAGTGAATTTTATTAAGTTTTGAAAAGAAATATAAGCAAATTATTTTAAGAGGACATTTGTGTCTTAAAATATTGATATAGTATTAGATATAATTTTTTTAACTATTGACAGTAAAAGAATCAAAACATTATTTTAAAATAAAAAGGATCATAAGTGTCATTTTAAAGTGTTTTGAAAAACTTTATGAATTTTTCTCTATATTTTACTTGAATAATAACATGATATTTTAAATATTTGTAAATCGATGATGTATTTGTTAAAAGATTCTCATTAGTCAAAAGGTTTCATTAAGATTTATATTTTATACATTATTAATAACTAATTAACATCTCCTCAAACTAGACGTGGATTAATTTTGCATGGCTAAGGCGTAGGCAAGCCATGCGCCCGAACCATATGAAAATTGAAGGACGTGGTTACGTTGGACGATTAGAGTCAGACCCTTAACAAAGTCAAGCTCCTTGAATATCGTACGGAGATTTCACATGTCCTTGGATTAAAGAATGCGTGAAAAGGTACAGAACCGATGGCGTATTTGGTGGAGCATACAAGCGAGGGAGGTCATATCCCAAGCAATATTAATTCCTTCATTATTTGATGAAGCTAATCAGTTGCTTTACGCCACTTTCGAAGGTTAATGTCGACACGGAAGATTGAGAGAGAAATTAGAGGGCAATGGTAGCTTAAGTTGATGGACAACAAAGCTTGAGATGACAGAAAGTATATGTGATTAAGAATAAATTGGCTGATGGCCTCACATTACAAAGATGAAGATGTGTCTGCTGAGCTTTTTGTGATTCTCAAATCACTTCCCCCATCAATTCATTAATTTTGATCATCTATCTGTCGCAAAATCAAGGAGAATCAATTTCTCAAACCTAATTCCATGCAAAATTAAACTATTTAAAATTTTGGGCCACAATAAAATGGTTGAAAAGTTGGATTAGACCCTTCATATCTTTTCTATTTTTCTTAATGTGACAAACTAACAACACTTCCCTCTTCCACATGTTTATTTTTTTTAAAAAAAAAAGGGTAATTTTTTTTGTCTCCAAGTTCATATATCATTTCAAATCCCTTACTATTTTTTTTTTTTTGAAAAGCATAGGTGAATTTCTATTAATAACCAGGAATAAAGCATTCCTTAACGGGGTACATCTGCAACCAAACTAAAACCCAGGAGTAATGGAACCAAAACACTCCACTACTCCCTCACAATTACTCCCCTCACTTACAACAAAAATCAAAAGAAAAAACCCACATCTCCATCCACATCCTTGGAGCCTCAACCAGCTTTCCTTGACGTCTTGATCTCAAAATTCATACATTCGTAAAGCCATTCATAGCCCTCTTGGACCAAATCAGCAAAGCACCAATATTCAAGACACATTGATCAAAACAGAGGGAACCAAAAATAATGAAACTTTCCACACCTGTCACATTGCTTCTTCCTGTAAGTTTTCATCCGGAGTCCACAACAATCAGCACTAGAATAGATAGACATTTCATGACACCTTATGGTGACCAGGGCAATTGAAAGCAGAGATCTTACAAAAGGATCGCGCCAAAATCATTGGCGGCGAAAGATACACATGTTTGCTAATGGTTACGATCTATTCTAAAGAATCCAAGGTTGGTCTCTTGACACTTGGGATTATTTCCTTGGATAAAGATCTTGTCTATTCAAATAAGAAAGCAGGGAAGGCTCTGTGACAGAATCAAACAAAACAGAGCAGCCGACAAGAAAATATCTATACTTTTTTGCATGACCCAAGAGATGAGCTCAACTGAAAGAGGCTGCTTAACCTACTGAAAAGTGGAAACTTTAGGCTCCATTGTATAAGTCAAGTACAAGTTTAAACTTTGCAAATACATTTCAGAACTCCAACACACATTTGAAGTCCATTATACATGTGCTTATGCGCAGAGCAAGAATGTGAAAAGGCATCCGTCAAGCGAGGTCAAGTTCATAGAATTCCTATTTCAATGATAATATTAATACTAGCATGGCACAAACATATCTAATCATGAAAATTAAATGACATGGATCATTATAAACAACTTTCTTCCTTGAAAAGTATATATATACAAATTGATATAGACTTTTGGAAATGAATATTATATATTAATAATTTTAATTTACATGACAAGTAATTTTGATGAAATGAAATTTATATGTTTATTTAATTTAAGTGAAAATAATATTGATAAACACTTTTTTCCATGTTCAATAAAATCTAACACACGTATACTCGTACACATGTTTTTCCCTTAGTTTGGAGTCTATTTCCATGAAAGGAAAGAAAAGGAGACTAATAAGATTCTATTCGCAATAAGAGAGTTCATTGATGAAGGCCAATGCATTGCTGGTTAATTGGGCGACTCTGCCAATATTACTCCTAATAGTGTCTTTGATTTTGCCATTCATTGCTTTCCCTTCCATCCCATCCATGCAAGTATCCTCATTGATCAAAGCAGCACTAACCCAAGTCTGTACATTGCTCATTTTCATCTCAAAGTCAGGGCCCTGTAGATCCTTCATTGCTGCCATTGATTGGTGGAGCTCATCTACAGAGCCTCACATGGTTTCCACACAATCCGCAATGGCAATAGCTTCTCCAGGCTTTAAACCAGGCTCTTTGGACAACTTTAAACCAGGTTTGAAGTTTATTACTCACCATTCAGGCTCACGGACAAAGAAGCGTTGGCAAGTTCCCTTGCGCTAGTCTGGATGGTGCTAACATAAGCTGAGAGGGTCTCATAACATATCTCCGGATACATATCTCATAACATAATCTGTAAGTTGACACAGCTGCAGAACTACATCCACTCTCCTGAGAGGATATATGCAGAAAGAAGGACGTCCATGATTAAGGAAATTAAAAAGAAAAACTTTGTAACTTAGACATCCACATCTAGCTGGACTTCAATCTTCTTTGAAGTACAATAATATCCTCGTTTAGTTTAATAAGCCCACCACGCATGACTTGCACAATTAAATACTCAAGCTAAGATGATAATAGTGAATGTGAAGGAAATAATGTTTGGCAAGCTTTGCCGTGGGCCTTTCTCCAGAAAAATATCTGCTACTACATTTGTACACATCACTTTCGTTTTCTTTTTACCGTAATGTTTATTTCTTATTTTTAATTTCAACTCAAACAGTAGAATGTCTCAGCCTTTTTTGCGGGCCATATTGTCTATCAAACCCGTGATGCTAAGTCGCTATTGAAATTACGGAAAGCTGGTGATGCTTTGAAGACGTTTTTCGCATGTTATCTTCATGCTCTGTTTTAGTTCATACTATGGGATGGTTTCATATCATATCATAAGAAGCATTCGATGCAAAATTAACTAATAATACCTGAACAGTTTTAAAAAATTTTATGAAATGGAAAGAACTTTTTTGTTTTACGGAATATCTGTAAAGTTCAAAATCTAGCTATACAGAAAATGACCTTTAATGGTGGAAGGTAGAGTCAGCATTTTCTACACCAACAAATGTTCTTGAATAACCGTCTAGACTTAACTTTCAATCAACGTCCGATTTCTAAATCTAACCCTGCTCCGTAATTGTCGAGTAGACAAAGATTTACATATTACAGCAATTCAAGAAAACTGGGAAATCCTTTTGACCAACGTGATGCTAATCTTGAAAACTAGTAAACTGCAACGGAAAGAGAGAGCTCAACCAATCAGACTGCCATAATAATAGTCTTGATAGCTATGGGCAACAGCTTTTCTAATTCTCTCTGCATGTAACCGACCTGCAGGGGGTCGCACAAGGATAACGATAGGCAGCTCATCTGACCAAATGGCCGAATGGGTGCTTGTGAGCCCGGCGGCTGAAGCGTTTAAGCCTCTTTCGTTCGTTTCTAAGGCCCCACACAAATGCATTGAAGGTAAGCTGTTTTGATTCTTCGATTCCAAATACTCTGATTCAGACTTTAAATCACCATTTTATTTTGTCATTTGCTCCCACTTGATTTGCCATTTGACAAGGAAAATTGGGCCACACACAATTATGCTAGAAACATTCAAGTTAGTGGTGCTAACATCGTCCTTTGTACAGATTTTTTCCTGAGGTCTGCAAAATAATATCTTCAACAGTTAGGATTGAGAAGAGTCAAGACTCAACAGTTGCATAATCATGCAAACATTAACCTTTTTTTGGATGTTTAGCTAGAAGACAGCAAAGCGTCATGTCAGATCACTGGTGAAACATATTTTAACTTTAATCAAATATGGATACGTTTAGTAGTTGAGCGCAATTTTGCCTCCAATTCTCTCTAATCACGGATTATAAGCCATATTATTTGGTTCCGGAAATGTCCCTTTATGGACCCCTATCGATTTACTCCACCAATTATATCAGGAATGCAAGACTAACCGACATGGGTATCTTTTTTCCCCTATAAATTGGAGGCCTCTCCCTTCCCATTTTCATCATATTCCAATAGCTCTTCTTAGTTTTTAGCAAAGAAAAAACATTAGAGATATGGAAGGCACCGTCTGTAGTCATTCTTTTAAATTCCTTCTCATTCTTCTTGCCATTAATTCTTACATAAATTTTAGTTCAGCTGGTAGGCAAATTGCCCCACTGTCCAGCACTGAGTTCATCAGAACCTCTTGTAGTTCAACGACATACCCAAAACTTTGTTTTGAGACTCTCTCAACCCACGCTAGCTTGATCCAAACAAGCCCTCAGCTCTTGGCCCATGCAGCCCTCAATGTGACCCTTTCAACCGCCAAATCAACCTCCGCCATGATGGTAACGCTTTCCAGAAGCCATGGATTGAAGCCGAGAGTGGCGGAAGCCATGCAAGACTGTGTGGAGGAACTGAGTGACACCATAGATGAGCTCAGAAAGTCAATAAGCGAGATGGGTCAGATCAAAGGCTCCAATTTTGGACTGATGATAAACGATGTACAGACTTGGGTTAGCGCTGCTCTGACAGACGAGAGCACCTGCAGCGATGGTTTTCAAGGGAATAACATGAACGGGAATGTGAAGACGGATGTGAGAACCAAGATTCTGAGAATCGCTCATTTGACAAGCAATGCCTTGGCTTTGATCAACAGCTATGCTTCTCTCCATGGTTAGCTAGCCTTCACCAAGAACAGGGGGTAAGCATGTATACTATATTAATTGATTTTAGAAACTACGTGTGCCCTGATTAAATGTAATATATGCAAGCCTAGATGTGGCTTTGAAGTGGGGTATGGCTTATTGTTACACGGATATATGTGATCATGTTGTCACATAGTAAAATTTATGTGGCTCCTCTTTAAGATACTAGTGTCGGAGGCTTTGAGATCTATACTGTGCCGTCTTTACAGGTTGTTTTACTTACATTGCTTTGTGTAGAATCATATTGTATCCTCGTCGAAGATTAATTACAATTGATGAAGCCTCTCTTGTTGTCCAGGTTTTAGTTAGAATATTGATTTGAAGCGATTCCTCTGTTTGTGTATTTCATTCCTTATTTTGTCCAATTTCCAAAAGCATTCTAGTAACTTACTAAATTTTGCTTTACAAGTTAAGCTTAAATATTCAAATTTCCATAATCATTGCGAACATTAGCAATATTAGTGTTTTAGGGTATAAGAAAAATAATGTATTTTTTCAAAATTTTGAAAAATATAATTAGTGTATTTTTAAGAATGTCAATGATTACCTTATAATAGGATATCTTGCATTACTCGACTAGATTTAGATTAAGATTAAGATACTCTATGATCAAATTCAAATAATAAAATTATTATAAGTCATGGGTTTAGGTAGGATTTAGATAATGGTTTTAGAGTACCCATTATTCGAATTCGATTATATTAATATTAAATTTTAATTATATATTATTTTTTATTTATAAATTTCTTATAATTACTGTAATATTTACTAAAATTCATTAGTTGTTTTAAATTTGAATTTAATCTGTAATTTATTTTCATGAATTAATTATAATTTATTAATTTAATTTTTATTAATAATGTACATAAAAATTGATTTTAAATTTATTTTAATCATTTATTTAATGAATAATATTTGAGATATTCAATTGCATGTTTGAATGACAATTTCAAAATTTAATCGATTTTTTCTAAAGTTCAAATACCTTATCAAATAATTAAGTTAGGATTTGAGTATTTAAAAAATAACGAGTACCCTACGTATTTACATTTTTATAAATATTGACACTAATTAAGATGATATTTGAGAAAAAGTGTAATTAAAGAATTATCTCATCTTAATTTTAATTAAAAAATTTTAATTAATTTTATTAAATACTTATAAACATTTACTAACCCAATCCAAAAACAATATGTATGAAAAAAAAAAAGGCAGAACAAGAATAAAAAAGCGAGGGAAAGAATGTAACTCTTAATAAATTTCCGTCAACACATGGCTATTCTTTATCGACAAGACAAAACGGTTGAATAAAAAAGAAGCGCTTAAGTGGTGCATGTGTCAATTAAGTGGGGAGCTTCCTACGGTCTATATTTCGTTAAATCCATTGTGGGAAAAAGTGGCTAATGTTATTAACGGCTATAACGTTTATTACTATACACGTGGACGTGGTTTTTATTCCATGTGTTTCGGGAGGACTTTGTTTCGGTCTTATCCTGACTGTATGCTGTACAGTTTGTCGGATAACTGCTCATTCCACTTCCTAGTTTGGGTCCTAGCCGTTGTTGGCCACCTCCTCCATCGTACCGAACTTGGTCCTGCGGATAGCGACCTTGTGTTTTGTTTCTCTTGAGAAAAAAAATTCAATTTTCCCTTTTTCATGGTCTATATAAATCAACCCTGAGCCCAGCACAATCCAAGCCCAAGAAAAGGCCGTAAGTGGTGGGCTCTAATTGTAAATCCTGGGCTGAGCAGGCTACCTGGAGAGCGTACAACAAATATGTCTTACTATGGAACATAGAGAGTAACCACTAATAAACAATAAACTGGCTTAAGTTTTATTGAAACAATAAGCTCAAAGTGATCGGAATGCTTTCAAGTTAGCCAGGACCCTAACAAGAGATGGTTGGCTCCATTATCTTCAATCTTTTTATGCAAACTATAAAACTACACAGCTTGAGGGTTTGGAAATGCTTTGAAATAGGCCAGGACCCCAACAAAAGGCGCATTAATGTAGGTAGTTGGCTCTGATTGTGGAGCATTCATCCGGTTATCAGGAAACTGATCCTTCTCATCAGGTCCTCCAACAATAGCTCCTGTAAGCAAGTTCTGATTTGGATTTTCGGTTTGGAAGTAAGGGGTTCCATCCTTGCATTTGATGTGCTCTGGATGCTTACCAATGGATGGTAGAGAAGCGGCCCGATGATGTATTCTCTGAGGGAACTTCTGGCCAAATCCCACCATGTATGACATACTCAGTGGGTTCTTTCCCAGTATATAATCCACCTGCATCAGTTAATTCTAAGCTTCCACCATATTGGACTAAACCAACTTTCTAATGCTTAATTGGAGGGGCAGCATCCTGTTCAGACTTCAGACTTCATATCTGAGACCTATTTTTACAATAAAGCCTACTCATATATAGATGTCTTTGAGCAAATTTGAAGAGTCCGGCTGTCAGACTAACATGAATAAATTGACATTCATGGGAATGATGGAACTGCTTTTTGGATTTAAATGAGAAGTATAGATATGTAGAATTCTAAAGAACCTAAGATTCATGTGAACATACCTGGCCTTTTGCAATTTGCTCGAGCCTAGATGGTTCCGCATTAACATTACCACAAGGAACTGCTCCATTGTGTTTTTTAAGATATTGAGCGTAAACAACCAGAAGAAAGGACAGAGATGTGGCATGTTGCATGTTGCTTCCACCAGGTCTGAACAAAAGCCCACCTACCATTTCTCATTTGCAAGTCATCACCCATTAGCCAGGTATCAGTCAGGCCAAAACTAAATTCTAAACCGACAATTAATATTGAGACAAAATAAAAGAAAGGCTGCTCAACACCAGCATTAGAAATTAGTGTTAGTCTAGAACCAGACTTCAAGTTGTTGAAAAGCACTTGAGGATCAGTAAAAAGTTTCAAGGAAATATGATCATAATATGTAGTTAGTCTGGTTTATAAAAATGGATTCTAACTTCAACGTCAGCGTCCTTTTCTTTCAAATCAACATAAGAGCCTATAGGTTTTGTAAGTTTAATAAGTTATTAGTTACAGCCAGCACGATTTGGATGTGTAAATTCTAAGTCCATGGCAGGCTACCTGGAGAATACGTAACAGATTTGGAAGGCGATTCTGGCAACAGAGTACATACAAATTTCCCCGCTTCGAGAACATAGGGATTGGAATTGCTGGAGTTCATTACCCACTGCAAAAACAATCAAAACAAAAGTCTAGACTGTGGAATAAGAAGAATGGTTTTTTAAAAATCAAAATGAAAGGAAAATTAGATTATTACCCCGGAAACAAGAACATTTATACCGGCGTACTTCGCATCCCATCCAAATTCAGCAAAGCTAGCACTAGCTTGTAACTGACCATCTACAAGCCTTGTGACTTTCTTTGGCAGATATAGAACGTTCCTTTGAAGATAGTCCCAGTACTTCCGTTCGTTTGTCGCCTTAAACAACCATGCTGCTCCCCATATCAGTTCGTCCTGTAAAGAGAATAGTTGGTATTAGAAGCGACAATGAATCTCCCAAGTGAACCTTTCTTAAATTTCTCGATTGCCTTCGTACCTCATAGCCATCGTAATCACAATAGAATGGACACACTCCTCGGCCAACACTGTCCTTATAGGTTCCCCGAAACATATCCGCGAAGTCAAAGACCTAACCCGCACATAAAAAAAAACAGTAAGGTTATTAACCAAAAAAGTTTGAAAAGAATAAAAGAAAGAAAGAAGAAAATATTCAGCCTCATGATTTACCTGCTTTGCCCTATTGACAAGTACTATAGAGTATTTCTTGTCAGCGGACTTGAAAACCAAGGAAGATGCCGCAAGTGCAGCTGCAGTCTCGGCTGATACTTCAGAGCCAGGGTGGGTTTGATTAACTACGTAACTGGTTCTTGAAGTGTCCATGTCTTCGGGCCTTTGCCAGCAATTATGATCCGCGTTTGGATCACCAACGGCGGCCGTGACTTTGCCAGGGAACTTCGTGGCCTTGAGCAAGTAGTCTGTGCCCCAACGAATGGAATCCAGTGCATATTGCAGGTCTGAGCCCATCAATTGGCCAAATTCGATTACGCTCCAAGCTAGCATTGTTGTTGAGAATGCCATTGGAAAATTAAATTTCACGTTGTCACCGGCATCGTAATAACCACCTACTAGATTCATCTGAAAATCAAATCATATTTTTAATTTGGTTAAATATTAAAATAAAAAATATCATAAAAATGTGAATTAGTTTTATTGTAAACTTTTTACACCACATATTTAATCTTTAAAAAAAATTATTGTAAACTTTTATTTAACATTTATGAATTCTGAAAGGTTAGTCCGTATAAAATTTATTTTCAATTCAATTTTTCAAAAGCACGTTACTAAATTCAAAAAATTTAATTTGAACCTATTTCACACAATTGGTATACTTTTCTTTATGCATCACATTGGTTTGTGCATCCTTTTTAAGGTTCTTGTACCAGATTGCATTATATGCTATGCTAAATCAAAATCCACCAATAACTATACGATAAATAATGGCGTAGAAATTAGAGATTTACACCAACGTCAAAACCATCACGAAGAGCAGAGTCCTTTCTCCAATTCATTCTTTGGTTCGGTGGAAGCTTTCCTGACCTCTGCCCTTCGAAGAATAAAAGGCACTTGGACAATGCATCGCCATAGTTCTGTGAAGCAACTCTGTCAAGCACCACCATCCCTAATAACAATAACAACGTTAGTAGAGTGATCATACTGTGACGTTTGCCGCTGGCCATTGCTCTATTCTCTCTGAAATCAATCTGAACCCAATTCTTTAACTCTCTTTGCGATATTCTGACCAAGCAATAAATTGAACTTCTACTGAATTATATAGTCCTAGAAAGAGCTAGAAAAAATTTGACTGCACAACACATCAAATGAGGGCATGCTTATATAGGGTCTTTACCACATATGTGGGGTTTGGCAATGATACCTCAAGCATTAATTGTCTGATTTATTGGCTAGGATGGAAATTATGGAAATTAATATCCACAATAATTACTTTTCTTCCTTTATACTTTCAAAATACACATAGGTTAAATGCCTTAGTGCATGCTCTTAATTTTTTAACTTTGACAGTTTATCCTTATAAATTTGCTAGCTAGACACCATTGATGTACCCTGGTTATGCATAGTCGGCAAAATAGTACTAAATAGTAGAATAATTAAATGAGTCAAGAGCAAATACAGGAGAGATACAAGATAATGATTTGCAATTAGAACGTACAACCACACCAAGGCAAGGTATTAGAGAAATTAATAAATCTATAGAAAATGTACAGCTCAGCATGAACCTGGAATTTGGATTTGCGTGTTGTCATTTATCATATCCTCTTTTATTCTTTTTACATTTCTAATTGGTTCTCTTGGGAAAAGTTATCTTTTGCTGCATGGTGAGACAGTAATTATTTCATGATGTGTTGGCATTACTATATGGGGGAATCAAGTTTGAGATGCTTTTGTTTCTTTCTTTTCTGTTGTATCATGTTGTCATGTTTGCATGAATGAAGCTTGTAATATAGTCACTGTACAAGTACAACTGCTTTCATTCCAGCATGCAATTAAATGAGTTTTGGAAAGTTTTTCCAGCCATTAATTTGCTTTCTGCCTCTTTTTGGTCTGAGTAAATTTGTTCCTTATTCTCATTAAATTTGCTGCAGCTTTGTCAAGTTTGTTCCATTTTCTGTTCAAAAAAAGGCACACACAAGTTCAGCTGAAAAAGGCACTACAGTTTAAGTTCATTAAATAAACTTTAACCTTTTATAGAATCAAATATTAAATTGCCGACCTGTATATAAAATTGACAATCATTTATATTCCCTGGTAATTAATTCATTCCATATATATAAATTGGGATTGACAACTACTTATTACACATTTCCACTTTTAGATCTAATAAATTTACATATTTTTATAAATCAAAACCAGTAGCTAGAAATTCAATAAGAGCAGAATGCTAGTGTGATTTGAAGTAAGCCAGGAGGCCAACGAGAGGTGCATTGATGTATGTGGTTGGCTCCGAGTGTTCAAAATCGACTCTGGAATCATCATAAGAATCCTTAACATTAGGTCCTCCAACAACAGCTCCTGTTAGCAAATTGGGGTTAGAATTGTTGCTAGAAAAATAGGTTCCTCCGCCTCCACAGTCAATGTGTTGAGGATGTTGACTAATCGAAGGCAAAGACGAGCCCCGATGATGTATCATTTCCGGGAACTTCTTGCCATATCCCACCATGTAGGACATGTTCAATGGATTGCTTCCTAATATGTAATCCACCTGCACCAAATTCCGAAAAACATTTGGACTGATATGGTTTTTGATTGGTGTTCATTTCAGGAAGTTTGGCTTAGGTATTGATTTCATATATACCTGGCTTCTTGCAACTTGAACAAGACTGGCAGGCGTGGCAACAATATCATCGCCACAATAGATCACTCGATTGGCTTTACTTAGAGGGCGACTGTGCACAAGAAGAAGGAAGGACAAAGCAGTTACACGCTGCATATTGCTTCCTCCGGGTTTAATAATGAGTCCACCTGATGAGATATATATTATGTATTTGCCAAGAAAAATAAGGACTAACAATTAATATTGTTGAATTTTGGAAATTATTCAATTGCACCCAAATTAAGCCATAGGTAAATATACACTTCAAAATAAGCTAGAATTGAACATTATTTAAAAAAATAAATAATTTTAAATGCTGTCAGTCTAAGAAAGAATTAAGAATCTAGGATTAAATTCTGCCTTCACTAATATATGAAGGTTTATAGAAAAGGTAGTTACCCTTTCTTTTGCATATTTATATTCCAGTCATTGGACTCCAAAAAAATAAAGAAAACACAAGAAAGTCTTGGATTAGTTGATACACTTCCTCTTTGACTTTTTAAAGTCAAATATTTTAATTTTTGACATATTTATTAATTAAACTTTTTGCCAAAAAAAATAAGCCTTTAAAATTTTAAAATAATAGGTTTTTTTATTTTTTATTTTAAAATTTTAAAATTTTAAATTACTATCTTGAACCATCATTATCAAGTATAAAGAACTTGGATTTGTTTTACCCTTTGTTTTTTTTATTTATTTAAAAAGAAATCCCTTCTGTTATGCATCTTTAGCAGAAATTCCTAATTAAGGCCACTTGGTGCGTTCAAAGAAAAACTTTAAATTCCAATGCCTAATACTATTGGCTTTGGTAAGAGAAAATTAATAATTTACCTGGTGTGTAGGAGACTGATGCAGTTGGTGAATTAGGCAGCAGAGAGCATACAAACATGTCGGCATTGATAACAGAAGGAGTTTGACTCTTAATCAACTGCCAGTGGAGAAAAGAACGAATATTAGATTGAGTTAAAAAGTTTGCGAGACTTTCTTACAAGAAGAAAAATTCAGTAAATATATATGTACTTGCCTTGGAAACAAGTATGTTGATCCCAGCGTGCTTGGTATCCCATCCAAATTCCGCATAGCTACTACTTTTCTCCAAGCTGTTAATGTTGTCCAAAACATAATTCGAATAATAGGGAGCCCTAGTTGCCCTGAATAACCATGTTGCTCCCCAAAGTAATTCATCCTGTAATGCATTTCCAGTTCCACTCAGGCGTTACATTCGAGATTTGTGACTGAAGGTGAGTAATTGTACTGGAGAATTTGAATGTTTATCTTTTCCCCGAGAAAGGGCACTAACCTCATATCCACTGTAATCGCAGTAAAATGGGCACACCCATGGTCCAAGGCTATCATTGTAGGATCCCCTGTACGTATCTGCAAATTCGAAAACCTAATCCGAGCACAATTGTTACTCATTGAACATGTTCCCAGCTATAATTGAAAATATTGAAGAAATTAGTACTACCACGTACCATTCTTGCTCTTTTGAGGAGCCTTGCGGAATATTCACGATTAATAGGTCTAAACACCATCGAAGAGGCTGCAAGCGCAGCAGCTATCTCAGCCGAAACTTCTGACCCTGGAAACTGTTTACTGACTGCATATGGGGTTCTAGGGGTGTCCATGTCTTCAGGCCTCTCCCAGCAGTTGTGATCACCATTAGGATCGCCAACTTGAGCAAAGATAAAGCCAGGGATGCTTGTGGCTTTAAGGAAGTAATCGGTTCCCCACTGAATTGCCTCCAATGCATGTTGCAGATCTGAGCCCATGGATTGACCAAACTCTAGTACACTCCAAGCTAGCATAGTTATGGAGAAAGCCATTGGAAAATTGAATTTAACGTTATCACCAGCATCATAGTAACCTCCCACCAAATCAACCTGAGAATGAAAAAAGCATATATAAAAAGTGCAGAAATTATTAAAATTTGATATTTTTTAAAAGTTTGTTTTACATAAATATAAAGATTCGGGAATAAGAAATATATCAAATCTTACTATTATCACAATCTGACGTTATTATAAATTTTTAAATAAAAAAATAAAATAAAAAAAAAAAAAAAAAAAAAAAAGAAATTCTCTTATACTTCTATCAAGCACGAATGTCATGACATAAAAAAACTTAGACACACGCATATGATGGCACATATATGTTCAACACTTACAATTAGTCCAACATAACTCATCCAAAGATCTTTTTTAGCACATGGTTGCTTGAATCAAACATGTGCAAATTAAAAAACAAATATCAATTGCTCTTTACGTTACCGCTCATTTCATCATTTTGCTTGACACTTTAAAACTCTTGATAATGTAAATCATCATCGTTAGACTTGGGAGTTAATTTGGTTAGTATTCTCATGCATAAACTATCTGCTCTTATTGTGTACGTCTTTGGACAAAAAGTGTTTACGAATATTGCCTTGGGAAATTCCAACCTTTGCCTGAGAGGGAAACATAGAAAGACTTACACCAATCTCAAAGCCATCGCGAAGGGCAGAATCCTTCCTCCAGGTCATCCTTTGAGTAGGGGGTAACTTTCCGGACCTCTGGCCTTCAAAGAACAAGATACTCTTCGTTAATGCGTCACCATAATCATGTGAAGCTACCCTTGCCACCAATCCCACCGCCATTGCCGCCACTCCAAACACTAATAGCCTTTGTAATAGACTCATGATTAAGCCTTTCCGCTGTCTTAAAGAGGTTCAGTTAATCCCTTTAATCTCTTTCTCTCTACCCCTTTCTGTCCAAGCAAGAAATGTATATGTACACGTATATGCCTTAGTGCTTCAATTTCAAATTAAGATGAATCTATCTATAAATGGACTATGAAATAAAGAAAGACTAAAGATCACCAAATCACTTTGTAGAGAAGCTTGCAATTCTTTAGTCCTTAAAAGAGAGATTTCTTTTCAAACAAAAAGACTTATTGCAGGAAGGCTTAGTGCTTCAATTTCAAATTAAGATGAATGTATCTATATATGGACTATGAAACACAGAAAGACTAAAGATCACCAATCACTTTGTAGTGAAGCTTGCAATTCTTTAGTCCTTGAAAGAGAGATTTCTTTTCGAACAAAAAGACTTATTGCAGGAAGGCACGAGCGGAGGCTGCGTGTACGGTGGTGAGCGCTAGTTTCAGTGTATATATATGGAATTTTGGTTACGTGGTCGCCTTTGTCTATCAGACTCATACATAATAATACTTCTATTATTTATTAAAGTACAATCGTAAAGGAATTCTGTTATCTAGTTGGATATGTTTCAAATCATTAATCAATTAATTGAAATCCCTTCCTTTTTATTAGTCAATTTGCAGATGGCAAAAAGTATTTCATCATATTAATATAAGTTTTTTATTCTTCCAAGCCCGTATAAATCAAATTTTTATTTTTTTAAAAGATAGGCGCTTTGTATTAAGTTTCAAGATATGTACAATTACAAAAGAGTGACCAACATATTGGTTTAGGAGAAGTAAATTATTAATAGATAAACTTTATCTTGGTACTTAAATTTTTTTGTATTAAATTAAGTATATTTAGAGATTTAATCATCAATATATATATATTGGTAATTAGATTTAATTAACAATATTTTATAACTAGAAAGCAACGTCGTCTTTCAGTTTAAATGTCAGGGGCCAAACCCTCTGTCGCTGCAACTTACCTGGAAGTTACTTTTATACCAAAAAATTTTAGCTTTTCCTTTTTCTTCATTCAATTCTAATCTCTTCCAACTTTCAAGTCCCCATGCTGGCCGGCTTCCATACCATAGATTCCAGTGCACTCCATAGCCCAATGACCATTGAAATTCGAAGTCCAAGTCAGGGGAAAAGATTTAGCCCAAGGTAACTTGGGCTTCAAAAACATGTTACAAGTAGATGTGGGCTGCAGCCCTTCATGGTATACAACTACTAGAATGAGAACAAGATCAGGCTCGTTAAGAAAGCTCAATTCAGAAAAGATGGATCTAAGCCCATTCGATGACAAATGGTGCCAAACCCACCACACGGGAGTTTCTACTTTTATTATTATAAAATTCAAACTGATGAATTATTATGAAATTAATTACATGGATATAACATACTAAAAAGAGGTTATGTAAGGATAAATCTAATGTGTTAATACTATAAGAAGGAGCTCTCTCTTCTTCTTTTTTTAATTAGTTAGGAAAAACAAAATTTCACTTTAATTAGATTTGTTTTTGAAATATAATGTCGAAATCAACTAAAATTAAATTATGCCTCAAATAATACTAAAGAGTATATGAAGTGTAACTCTTTTAAGAGGAATTAAAATCTAGTAGTAAATGAGACAAATTCAAGAGACGTTTCAAAAACCAAAGATGATGTGGTTGTACCTACCAAGTACCAAATGTCTGATTGAAGAACCCTTTGGAGTAGTAGTAGTATATTCAAACAAGTAACAATCACATGCCGCATCATGACTTATGGAGGGATGGTTAAAAGGGGATGCTAATGGTCGTTTGCTTTCTCTTTTTAATTCTAAAAGGATGATGGTCTTTGGCAAACATGTTCCCCTGAAATCTATTCAACATCTTGAAGGCATTGCTCTTGGTCAAAGCGAATTGATAGCCTTTGCGCATAGCTCAGGGGGCACTGTTCCCTCTCCAACAAGAGTTCAATCTGCAACTTTTGAATAGAAATATATCCAGAGTCAAGTCAAAACAGAGAAAATTTTAAGCAAGCTTTTCCCCTATGCTTCAGTACTTATTTCCATTGTTGAAGATCAAAATTACTTGTCAGACTTTGAATTTTTGACATCCCTTACAGATGGATATCTTAATACTCGAACAATTACTTATTCAAATTAGAAGTAATTATAACATACTTGTATATCCTTCCTGCGATCTATTTCTTTGAATTTTCATTTGATTGAATTGTAAAGTGAACAGTTCGCTTGAACTGCAATTTGCAAAGCACATGGTGCAGCCAGCTTTTATGGTCGTGTGGACACGAGCGATGGAAGAATAATGGTTGCTGCCTTTCAAGGAACTGTTTGCTTCCAATTTACATGAGCTCAATATACTCAAACAAATGCACATAAAAATAACAATAATAACTATTTCGTACCTCTTTGTGTAAGGAACATGTTCTGAATATCTGAAGTCCACTCAACCATTTGCTTAACAGCTATGATTTGCAGTTTTCAGCTTAATTGACAGTAGCCATTCATTCGTTGGCAAGGAAACTAAAAATTGATCAACTTTTTGCCATGTCAGAGTAGATGAAAAGAGAACAACCGGGAATAAAGAGCAAGATCCTAGAAATGGTCCTTGAGTTGACATTAAGCAAATTAATGAATTCAAGCAATCTCATATATGACATTGTCACAGGTCAGAGTGTTTATATCATATCAGTTAATTATCACCGACCCGAAAATAATTTGACATGGCAAGCTCAAAAGTCCATGCAACTCATTTTTCTCCTGACAATCCAAGGTTCTTTTTTTTTTTTTTCCCAAAAACGTTTTTAAGTCTCTGGTTTCCTTGATCGATAATACTAATGTTTTATTTCCTGTTTACGTAAAGAATGATAGCACAATGTTATTTAATAGTAATACTACATAGTTAGCAAGCAAAGAAAACTTTTTAGTGCATCTTCTTTGTATCTTGCATTTGCATTTATTATGTCATTCTCTGTTTTGCAAACAATCTCGTCAATCAGTTCATCTCCTTTTCTCCCACTACTTTAAGATATCCCTTACTAAGATATGACACTTTAAAACTCAATCACCAGATAAAAGAAAGCAAAAAACGATCACCATTGGCCATGGAGGTCATGATATTGTTAATCTTTTTAATATCATTCACTTCAATTTTCTCCACTGCGCTCGCCAGGGGTTGTCGAAGCAATATATCATGGTGGTGTAGCAAAACGCCTCACCCTGAACCCTGCAAATATTTCATGCCCCACGGTTCTCACCGTTTTGCACCCAGACACATGACTGAATTTCGGAACATGATGGTCCGAGTAGCCTTGGATCGAGCCGTCGTGGCCAAAAAGAATGTCTTGGAGTTTGGACAGAGTTGTGAGAATCGACACCAGAAGGCGGCATGGAGGGATTGTCTCAAACTTTTCGATAATACCATTCTTCAACTCAACCTTACTCTACAAGGCCTAGAGACCGGGGGGAGGATTAGCTGCAGTGATTTTGATGCACAAACTTGGCTTAGCACAGCCTTGACCAATATCCAAACATGCGAAGCGGGGTTCATAGATTTCAATGTTTCAGACTCCTCTACGCCTATGACATCCAATAACATATCCCAGCTTATTAGTAATAGTTTAGCCGTTAATGGGGTTTTCTTGCATACGCAAAACCATACAGAAGTTTCTCCTGGTTGGCTTTCGTGGCATGACAGGTGGCTACTAGCATCGGAATCGACAAAAGTAAAGGCACATCTTGTGGTAGCAAAAGATGGTTCAGGAAATTTTAAGACCGTTCAAGCTGCTCTAGATGCTGCAGCAAAGAGGAGAAGGACCAGCAGGTTTATCATATATGTGGCAAAAGGTGTTTATAGGGAGAATATTGAGGTTGTCAATACTAACTATAACATTATGCTGATTGGTGATGGCATGAAACGTACAATAATCACCAGCAGCAGGAGTGTTAAAACAGGTTACACAACCTACAGCTCTGCTACCGCCGGTAAGAATTTTTCTTTCCTCCCTCTCTTTTGTTATTTGAATAGTACTACTATTTTATAATGCATTGAACTTTTTAGGGGTGATTTTCAACCTGAGACATTTCAGGGTCTCAAGCCGTTCTTGGCATGATCTCCTTTTATGACTAAACTTTAAGTATCTGACTGTAGGCATTGATGGCCCTGGATTCATTGCTCGGGACATTACATTCAGCAACACAGCCGGTCCAACAAAAGGTCAAGCAGTTGCCCTCCGTTCAGCATCGGATCTCTCAGTCTTCTATAGATGTGCCATACAGGGATATCAGGACACCCTCATGGTACATTCACAGCGACAATTCTACAGAGAGTGTTACATCTATGGCACTATAGACATCATATTTGGTAATGCAGCGGCAGTCTTACAAAACTGCTCAATCTTTGCCAGAAGACCCTTAAAGGGACAGGCAAACATAATCACAGCACAAGGCCGTGGTGACCCTTACCAGAACACCGGGATCGCAATCCATAATTCAAGAATTTTAGCAGCAAATGATCTTAAGCCAGTGGTTCGTGCATTTAAAACGTACTTAGGGAGGCCATGGCAGCTGTTTTCTCGAACAGTTGTCCTGAAAACTTACCTGGGCAGCTTAGTTAGTCCTGCAGGATGGTCGAAATGGGGCGATTCTAACTTTGCCCTTGACACATTGTATTACGGAGAGTACAAGAATAATGGCCCAGCTTCTTCAACTAGATATAGGGTCAAATGGCGAGGTTTTCATGTAATAACTAGCCCAAATGTGGCGTCACGTTTCACTGTTAATAGCCTTATTGCTGGCAGGTCATGGCTACCGGCAACTGGTGTGCCATTCACTGCAGGCCTCTGAAAATGTCCTACTATATGTGTACAGGGCAGAATTATATTCATTATATTTTTTTTACTTGATTTTTCTGTTCATTGTGAATACATTCTTAAGTTAATTATGAATAATATGCACTTGAAATTATTTTTCTTTGATACTACAATATATATTAATATGTGGATGTAGAAATTAAATGATTAATACTGAATTTATAACTTTCTAATCAATAGAATCTGGGCCTGGCCTACCGATTGCTTATCTATCAAGGTCGAGAATTGTTTCTTCACCTGAATTGGGTGAAAAACTTGAGTTAAAGGACGGGCAGGAGCCCAAGATGAGCTGAAAGGCTATAGCCCTCGGGCAAGATAGGAGACAGGGAAAGAGCCCCGGAAAACCCAGAAAACTAGGCCCAAAGCCCAACGTTCATCAGCCGAAGAGCCCCATAAAAAAAGAAGGGGTTTTGTCCAGGACATAGACAAATCCAATCATGCTCAATGGCAACACCCACAACCTTACATTATAATTTGTGATGATGATTAGACAACAACAGGCACGCATTTGACCGTTTCTGGCTTAGCATTATTATTTATAAAAACTTGGTTGTTCATGGAACCATCTTGAATTCTTCATCTTTTCCCTCCGTACTACAATGAAAACCCAATATACATAATATATATATATATATATATATATATATATAGAGAGAGAGAGAGTAGTTGGAAGAACATTAATCACAGATAAATATAATTTAATTAAAAGAAGTTCTTCTGGAAGTATCTATAGTTACCATTCATTGCCATCATTTAATTATACATGAACCAAATTTTGAATGGACTAATTAATATAGTAATTATAGTTTAGTCCACGCAACCACCAGCATTGCCTTAAACATACATATACAAATTAATTGTTGCCTTAGGAAGATTAAAAGCAAAATTAAATTGCCCCATGATAATGCTTTTAATTATTCCCCGGTCCTAAACGAAACAAATTTCATAGAATTATATTGGTTGAAAGCATCCTAGTCTATTTGTATGAGAAATTAGAATAAGTGATAACCATTTCGAATACTTTAATCATTCATCCATAAAAAAAACATCCAGATAATCGATGAAAGCATCCTTGTCTATTTGTATGAGATTGACATGGATAACAATTGCTTCCAGCTAATCCTAAAGCTGTACTTCATTTTGTTTGATTTTCAAAGCTATTCGGCAAACTGTTGAGATTGTAAAATGATATATAGAAACAATGCTTTGAGTTTTTCTAGTCTGTGTGAGACTAGAGAGTCACGTTTGCTTGCTTAGTCAAAATTCTCAGGTAGCTTCCACCCCTTTAGAAATGATAAACCATATCTAGAGAGAATGGTTGATCAATAATGATCTCTTAACATGTCAACTTTCCATCGAGAACTTTGAATATAATTTTATAAATGGGAAAACCAAGCTCCCCAATTATTGACAGAATCAAAGTTCTTTGTTCATGATTAATAAACCGCTAGATCACTCACGCGTTTTTGTCCCTGCCCTTGGACAATTCAAAGTCAACAACATAAGAAAAGTCAAAACATCCAATGCTAAATCACAAATTTCATGCATCTATGAAAGAGGAGAGCGTACTGACAGGACAGCTTAATCTTTGGGCAGCAAGGGAAGTTTCATGCTGCTAACGTCAAACACCAGCTTAAAGGATTACGCGAACGATTCACGATTCAACTAGGAAGGAGGTGGAAAGCTGAAACACTACTAACATCTATATTATATTATATATACTTTATTTTTCTTCTATAGATTATACTAGCTTACCAAATAAAAAGATTACCAATAAGAAAATTAATGACCATTGGTTACTTTTATGTCTTTTAGAAATGCTCCTAGCTATCTAGGATCGTACAAGTAATCGGACAGGATAAGACTGCTCTGGCAAAAAACTGATGATAAATCACTGTTATAGTAATCAGGACGATTTTGCAGCAAATCGTCAATGCTTAATCCAGCAAAGAATAAGAGAAAAGAAAGACGTGTGTGTTCCTATAAAATTTGTGGCGTAGAAAATCTTTGCAACTTTCAGCCAACAGTTTCCTTGGGTAAGCATAATTAATTAACACACCCCCATAGATTACAATAGATGAAGTGCACAACGCATCAACAAACGTTGAATTAACTAATTAGAGAACAAGATATCATTTATAAACAATAGGAGAACGGTTTAGATTGATTGAATCATTATTTTATTAAACTTGGTATGCTATGTTTGATTTGTCATTTTCCAATGCTCAAACTTATGCCACCCTGTCAACGTGCGCAGGCTGTCTTCTTTCTCCTATATAACGAACCTTTTTGCAAAATCATGACATATTGCAACCTGTAGAAACAAATTGAGTTCGAAAATAATCCACTCAATGACGACTAAGCTTGCTTTGTTTGTGATTTTCATGTCCTTTTCATTGGTTCCACCAACCGTGTCTTCTGTAGTCACCAATGGGATAGACTATTGGTGCGACAGAACCCCAAACCCTCAGCCTTGTAAGTATTTCATGCGCCAGAAAGGCAAAAGCTACGTGCCTAAGCAAAAATCTGAGTTCCGCAAAATGGCAGTCCAAATAGCCCTTGACCGTGCACTCAATGCTCAGATTCACAACATGGGGCTCGGGAAGAAATGTAGAAATGACAAGGAGAAGGCTGCATGGGCTGATTGCTTGAATCTCTACGAAGAAACCATTCTTCAACTCAACCAAACCTTAGATTCCACCAAATGCACCGATTTCGACGTGCAAACCTGGCTAAGTACTGCGCTGACCAACCTTGAAACCTGTCGGGCAGGCTTCGTGGAGCTAGGAGTTTCTGATTACATGTTGCCGCTTATGTCCAATAATGTCTCAAAGCTAATAAGCAATACTTTGGCTTTGAACAATAATGCTTCATTTGTGCCGCAGACTTATAAATACGGCTTTCCTAGCTGGCTCAAGGCTGGCGACAGAAAGCTCTTGCAGTCGTCTTCGCCAACACCAAACCTTGTGGTGGCTCAAGACGGGTCCGGGAACCATAGGACCATTAAGGAAGCGCTTGACGCCGCTGCAAAAAGGAGTGGCAGTGGGAGATTTGTGATACATGTGAAGCGTGGGGTTTACGAGGAAAATCTTGAGATTGGCAACAAGCTGAAGAATATTATGTTGGTTGGAGATGGTTTGAGGTACACCATTATCACTGGCAGCAGGAGTGTTGGAGGTGGTTCCACCACTTTCAACTCTGCAACTGTTGGTAAGGAATTCAATTTAATTCACTGCTACTGCCTCTAATTACATGTGCATTTTTGTTTTCTCACAGGAGCTGATTTTTCTGATTGAAACATATGACAACCAGAGAGATGTTGTTTGGTTCGACATGCTTTATATATCTTTTTTATTCCTTAGAAAAATCTGTTTCTTGGTGAAAACTGTTATTCTTTTGCATGCCTCCCCTCCTTTTCCCTTTACTTTTTAGTTATTATGATTATACAGTAATAGACTTTGATCATATACAGGCCTGCCAAGATTTATTAAGAACAAATCATCCTAATATAAAATGCTAATTAAAATGCAAAGGGAAAGCTAAATTTACATTGATTATTCTTCTTAATGTTTTAATCATCGAACACGGTTTTAACTAATTCTTGGAATTGATTTTATTTTTTTCAGCGGTGACTGGTGAAGGGTTCATTGCCAGTGGCATAACATTTCGCAACACCGCAGGTCCGCAGAACCACCAAGCAGTGGCCCTCAGATCAGGCTCTGATCTTTCGGTCTTCTACCGCTGCGGCTTCGAGGGATATCAAGACACGCTCTACGTCCATTCCCAGCGACAGTTCTACAAGGAATGCTACATATATGGCACAGTAGACTTCATTTTCGGAAATGCTGCTGTGGTATTGCAAAACTGCATGATTTATGCAAGGAGGCCAATGGATAAGCAAAAGAACATCGTCACCGCCCAAGGCAGGACCGACCCTAACCAAAATACTGGCATTTCAATCCACAATTCACGTGTAATGGCAGCCGCTGACCTTACCCCGGTGCTTTCTTCGTTCAAAACGTTCCTAGGACGGCCATGGAAGGAGTACTCACGTACTGTTTTCATGCAAACTTATCTTGATTCTTTGGTGGATCCAGCAGGCTGGTTCGAGTGGGATGGTGACTTTGCTCTAAACACTCTGTATTATGGAGAGTACAAAAATATTGGCCCAGCAGCTCCGACGAGCAGAAGGGTGACATGGAAGGGTTATCAAGTTATAACCAGCGCTACTGAAGCATCAAAGTTCACAGTAGCTAACTTCATTGCTGGAAGATCATGGTTGCCGGACACAGGGATACCCTTCACCCCTGGCCTTTGAGTTTATCACAGTGCATCACTCGTTTCAATTTGTTTCTTAAAATATATTGTTTTGTTCTTTCATTGCTGCGGTGTCTTTGTGAATTTACTTAATCCTTGCGACCATGTCAAGGAAATCCTCGTTGATCATACATAATTATATAATGTGATTTTTCAGCCAGTCTCTGGAAAATTCCCTTTTTATCAAGGCAAGCACGACAGAGAAATAATTTCATTTCTTTAAAAGTTTAATTTGAGTTACTACTGACAACATATGGTACAAGTCAATTCAGTGTCCGTCTGTCTTTCAAACTGAGAAAGGGGGATAAATTACACATATATGATGACAAGAAGGCATCCACGAGTAATCAACAAAAATTCTTGCTAAGTACAAAAGGTATCCTTCACTATTTATGCATAAGATCGGCCTCAAATTTGCAAGGAAGATTCATCTATTATACACAAAGTATAACAGTGGTCTCATAGCTAAATCCCTTCTTCAGTCAAAAGAAAACTCTGTAAAAGTGGTATGACTAGCCGATGCATAGCACTTGCCTTCAGCAGTCCTTCGCATCCTAACCATCTATGGCCAACAATCCACCTGCAATATGTTAAAAATCTGCATTGTCGCAGAGTGCGAAGTCTTGTGAATCTCATCAGAAGCTTACAACAGCCAGAACTCTGCATCATATTGTTTGCCAGCAACAAAAAACACTTGTGATTCTTCATGGCCAGCAAAATGGCTGTTCTTGCACCCTTCATTTTATATCAGCTTCTACTTTGAGTAGGCCACATCATCAGTTGTGACAATTGCAAACTTTGAGGATATGCCACCCTGCCATCAGCAGAAGTTTCACAAACTTTAAGCATTTTAGACAAGAGAACAAATCCTTATGCAATATATGTTTTAAATAAAACATTCATGTTGGATTACCAGTAAGTTCTACAGTAACAGGAACCTGAAGAATCTAGACAAATCACAATTACATGGTACATACTTTCTCCCTTGATCTCAGGGCTGCAAAACGCCCAAAAGAAACAAGAGAGAGACTATTTCTATAAGCATTTGAAAACATAAAAGAAGATATAAAAGCAATAAGGAGAACAAGGGTATTTACCTTGAGCTACATTCCATCCTTCTGTATGAACTAACACCTTCTAATGTGTCTTCAATAGTACTCGACCAGCCCAGAAGCCTTCAATCTTTAGGCACAGAAAAAGAAAATAGAGTCAGAGCTATAAGCAATAATGAAACCTTGAATAAAATATTCACAAGCCTTTGCTTTGACTGCTATTCAACAATAAAGTTTTTCATCTTGTGCTCAGAACTAAGCATCCTATTTGAAAAAGCAAGTCATTAAGGACTAACACATAGAATCATAGCTATTCCTTCCAAAAATTGCTTTGTTAAAGAGGCCAAGGCATTACCACATGCAGCTAGATCAAATTAACATGAGCTAATCTAAGGCCTTTGCCTTTTCAAACATGTTACTGTTAATATGCAAGAACTCCAAGTTTTGAATGATTACTTATAAATTTCTTTTTATCTGAAAATTTTTGTCCAAGTTGCAGAAAGCAAAAGGTACCTGGTTGCTGTCACCAGCAAACCAGCATCTTTGTTCCAGCAGCCAGCTGAAGAGATGGATTAATATCCATCATTCCCAGAGCCTGATGTTCATTTAGCTACACTTCAAATAAAAGAATTGAAAAACAATGGTGACAGTGTAAAAGTAAAGTAAGAATTTACGCAAAAACATTTACTTACCAATTATGTAAATTACACAGGGATTATATCTTGAATCATGAAACCAAAGTCACATTCTCCTTGTTTCCTTAATGTCTCAACCAGGAACCTTTCTGTTGATTTTAAAGGATACTTGCCCCTTTGAATCATTGTCTCAAATACTATATAAGCTTCCCGCAATTTCTTTTGTTCACATAAAATACAAAGCAACCAGTTATAACTATATGGTCGAGGCACAACATTACAAGCAAGCATTTCTTCAAATATCTTGAATGCAGGGATGCACAAATAACTAGCACAAAAATGTGCAAGTAAATTTTCATAAGTGACCTTACAAGGAATGAGCCCCCTCTTGCGCATCGCATGCAAAAGGGACACTGCTTCAAGTAGTCTACCAGCCTGGCAAAGGCCTTTTATTAAAGTGTTGTATGCAATTTTATCTGGAGTGCATTCATCTGCATTCATTTTATTAAATAAGTCTATGGCATGATCAATTTCGCCAGCTTTAATATGTCCACCCATAAGTATAGTAAAAGTCACTTGATTAGGACGGACACCTTCTTTTTGCATCAATTCAAAATGATCATATGCATCCTGCATCCTATCTGCCCAACAAAATCCAGATATTATACCATTGTAGAGGTACAAATTTGGCATAAACCTTGTTTCTTTAACCTTCTGCATGACCTTCAATGCAAAGCATTTCATTGCTTCAGGAGAACTATCAGAAACTCTTAACTTCTTTTCTCGTGGCAGGAGACATCTGTAATGGAGCAAACAGAACAACATTTCTCTTGCTCTTTCAGAACTTCTCTTTATAGAGCACCATCTTTTCCTGCTGGTAATGTTTCTGCAAACACCACTGACCAGTGCAATATAAGTAATCAGGTCATGCTCAATCTGGTTTCTGTCCATCAAATCAACTAATCTAAAGGCAAATTCAAACTCTCCCTTCCGCAAGAAATTGTTGATGAGAGAGGTATACAGTACAGCATTTGGCACAAGACCATCACCCAACATTCTATCAAGATACATACATCCCTTATCAGTCATGTCTTTCTTCACTAGCCCACTAATCAGAGCTGTGTAAGAATGAGAAGTTGGCCTAATAGCATCCTCAATCATTTTCTCAAATAGTTGACGGGCTTCAATGAGTCTTCCATTCTTTGAGTAGCCATTAATCATTGTCATATAAACAATCTCATCAGGATCCTCCCCAGACTCAAGCATCCTTATGAACATATCTTCAGCTTCAAACATCCTCTTTTGTTGGCATAGAGAACCTATTATGCAGTCATAAATAGCAACACCAGGTTTCATTCCCCTGTCCTCCATTTGGTCCAGGATATCAAAAGCTGATGCTAGATTCCCACGTTTACAGTGTTCATTTATCATTATCAAATATGTAGCTTGGTCTGGAAAAATACCCTGATCTTGCATGAGATCAACTAGGGATTTAGCATCCTCAAAAAGACCCTCCTGAGAAAGACACTTCACCAAGGAGTTGTAAGTAAAAAGCAGAGGCATGCATCCTAGATTCATCAATTTATCCATGAAATGCAAAGCGGTATCCAATTTTCGTCCCTCAGACAATGCACTGATAAGTATAGTGAATGCAACATTGGCTAACGTCAAGTTGGTTTTCTTAATGTTGCCAATCAAAAGCTCAATTTTTTGCTCCAAGTCTTCAGAAGCAGAAACTGCAAGTAATAATGGATCAAACCCACACCCATTAACAGCTATTGCCTCCACAATCATAAGAGCAAGGTGAAGCTCATACCCCTTAGGATACATCTTCATAAGTGTGAAGAACAGAACATGGTCTGGAACAATCCCACCAGTCAGCATGCTTTTATAAAGTTCAGCTGCTTCCATTAGCCTATTCTCCTTGTAAAAGGAAGTGATTAAAAATGTGTAACAGTGTACACTAGGAGCTAAATTGTTGCTGACCATGCTATTCAGAAGCATAGCAGCACAATCGACCTTCCCTTCCCTGCAATAATTACTAATCATAACATGATACGTTATGACATCAGGCTGCAGTCCCTTCTCCATCATCTGGTTGTATAACACCCAACCCTGATCAAACAAACCCATCTTGACAAACCCATGAATCAACGTGTTATAAGTATAACTATCTGGCTCACAACCTGTCTTGAGCATTCTCAAGTAAATTCTCATCGCCATTTTCATCTTCCTATCCTTACAATATTCCTTTATCAATGAAGTGTACATCGTCCTATCCACATAGAAACCCTGCGACTCTAGTTCTCCTATAAAAAATTCTGCCTCGAGGACCCACCCTTGTTTGCAAAGACCATAAAACAAAGACTTATACAAATGAAGCGTAGGTGACAACCCTGTTCTTTGACGCATTAGATCAAACATTTGAATTGCTTCTTCTAAGTTCCCTTTTTGACATAGCCCATCAATCAACCCACTAAAATACCAGCAACCCAGATTAACACCAATATCACTCATTGCAACAAAGTAATCAAACGCATCCAGAAACCTTTCTTGCGCAAAAAGCTCCCTAACAAGAGCATTAAAGGCAGGTTTTTCACTTGAATTATTCATTAAAAGCCTATCAAATAGGGTGCTAGCTTCCTCTAACTTCCCTAACTTACACAAACATATAACCATACTATTAACAATGAAGGGGTCAGGATTGATACCTCTACCAATAATGTTATCAGAGTACAGAGAATACGCCAATTGAGGATACCCTGATCGCACAAGCTTCTTAATAAGAGCCCCGAATGTGGATAAATCAAGGTCCAAGCCACGAGCAGTGACGAAATCAACGGCTGTTATTGCATCGGAGACTGAAGAAGACTGAGAAATAATGCGTTGAATCAGTTGCTGAGCAGAGGACAGTAAGCCGTGTTCAATGAGTTGCTCCGTCAAGGAGAGGCAAAAGGATTTATGGTCGGTGCAGATGGATGAAACGGCGGCATATGACGGGTCCAGTGGAAGAGTTGAGGTTGTAATTGCTCTTCTGGTTTTGAAGAAGAGGTGACACGAAAGAAGTCTCTTCTTTATCATGTTTAGAAACTGTGGATGGATTATGAAAATTTGTTTAAAGTATTAATAGGAAGGAAAAGTAGGCATTATTGAGATTGACCCCGTTGAAAAAATGGACAACTTTCATAGGCTTCGAAGCCAGAAACTCGAAGCATACAGAAAACAAAACTCCCAGGTGAACTGAAAAGAGTGACAAAATCTCAAGTGTCGTTGCCAAAGAGGTTGTAGAGATACAAAGGCGGAGAAGGAGGAGGACCAGAAGGAGAAACAAGGATTTTGATTTTGTTTTCGAGGTTTTGCGCCCCCTGAAAGCGTGGCAGGCCGATAACCGAACAAAAAAACAAATGCCTTGCGCTGCTTTTGTTTAAAACCCTCACACACGGCGGTGCCAAAGTGGCTGGGTTTTACCGTTCAAACAGGTTATTTCCTTACAAATTACATAATGTTTTCTTTTTTAAAAAAAAAATAACTTTTGTTACTTGGTTAACTGAACGCGACGAAGTTGGGCTTCATGTCGGATCTAAGTTGATTTATAAATGGGCTGCAGAACCTTATAGTTCAATCCAATAGCATGCTTTTTGGGCTTAAAATGTCAACTAGGACAACAGTTGGTCTAAAATCCGGTAGGCCTCCCACAAAAAAAGGGCCAAGCTTGCCATTGACTTATACGCCTTTCACATCTTTAATTATTTAAACATATAATATGTAAGCTTATACTATGCAAGTTCCTAGCTTAAAATATACTTACACATAAACAAATCTATGCGTAAAATATTCAATTATGATTTAGGCTTAATCGTATGGTATGAAGGAAATTATAAAATATAGATGATTTTTCATTTTGACATGTGAGTAGATTGAGTAAAAAAAAATCAAGACATAATAAGTATTTATTTCGTAACAATTCAGGACATCAAAATAAAATTTCACTTAAAAGATTCACTAAACAAGTTACATTGCCAAAGGCATATAATAAATTTAATGTGAATTACGTGTTGTTAATCTATTTACAACAAAGCAGCTAACAATCCAAAAAAAAAAAGAAAGAAGAAAATGGTTGAATTTAGAGGTCAGCACTGAGAAGCAAGTTGCAGATAGCAAAACTTGCACTTTGGCAGTAATTATAGATGACATAATGCATTAGGTAATACTATAAATACTCCTATAATCTTCTAAGAATGATCCTAATCATTCAGCATCCACTTATATATATATTTACCCCTTTAATTAAATATTGTTCTCGTTTCCTTTTCATCTTATCATAGTAATAATAGGCATTATTACTTCGAGGGTGACATATAAACCAAAATGCAATCATATATATACATATACATATATATATATATATATATTCTCTCCCTGTTGTGGTTACTATTTAATTTTAGGTAAAGACTTAACCATATTTTTCTATTATTTAGCAAAATAAAAGTGAATAACAGAAATAGTATTAGATGCTATGAAACTCAATCACACATTAAGAAACAATTAGACGGCCATGAGAAGGCAATTATTAGATAGTAATTTAGTATCAGAAACCACTTTGTTAAAGTCAATTCTTTTAGATTTGCGACGTCAGCCCATATTTACCCAAAAAGCGCAAAGGATTATTTATAGCTGTCGTTGAAAAAAAATGAGTTAGCATCGTTTGATATCTAAATTTGCAAATGTTCTAGAAGCCCTTTTGCAATATTCTCTCTTTGTTTTTTTTTTTTTAATTTTTTCTGTCTTTAAAAAGAAATGGTGACAAATTGTACGTGGAATAATGTGTACCATAAAATGTTGTCAGGTTTATGTAACATTTGCGTAATAATAAGCATTTTGTGACATAATTTGAATGGACATTGGTCATCATATTCATTATTTGTTTAAGGATTATGATTGAATTCTTATTGAGCCATTGTTATTCCAACACTTTTGTGCCAGAAAGAAAAGATTAATTGTTTTTCAAACAAATGTACAGTTTGTTCAACAGTTAAAGAATTTCAAGACCCAGTCTCAACCATGTTTCCCTGTGCGACCGCGAGTCATTGTATAAACATTGACCTAATCGCTGCAGTCGAGCTTTCTCATGTGTGAAAGGAAAAACCATAGGATGGACAAAAAATGTGGATTGCACTCAAATTTGCAATTAATAGAATGAATCATAGCCTATCAGGTGACCCCTAGTCAACTAGTCGATGATGAATACAGAGCACCAAAATGCACCACCGTCCCGTTTGTGAAAGGGCCCCCCGGCTTGCCCTGCCCATGCAATGGTGGGGAAATTGGAGTTTAATTTTTCACTGCTTACCAAGCCTCCACTTGTAACTTCCCAAGAATTGATTTCAGGCAGCACAATTTAGTTATCAAATTTCAACGCAAAATTCTCTTCTGAATCAGCTTCATCAATAGAATGGAAATTGTACTGTAATAAAAGCGTCTTTATGAAATGAATCCAGGCACATAAGCTTTAACATAAGTTGAATATTAATTGCCATTCTGTTTTATTATGTTGCAGATAAAATAAAATAAATCCATAAATTTACTTGATGCATAAATCATTTTCATTGTATATCTTATTTTTCATATATGTGTGTAACCAAAATGTTTGACTCTCATTTTACATCATCTCAAGTCTTAACTACATAAAAATATTTATATATACAATAATATATAAATAATTGACCAAAAATAATATTATTTTATTTACACATAATATTAACAATAAATTAATGAAGACAGATTTATCAGTATCTTTTCATCCTTAATTTCTATTCAAAATGATACTCATTAATAGCACCCTCTAAATGCTTTATTGTTTCAACTTATAACTTACAATGTATTCTAATGGAAACCATATCTTTCTGGTCGCTACATATGGTTCGTCTAGCTTGCCTTACACACGGCCAGAGCTCGCAACAGATAAATTTACTGCAAAAGTTTAGAATACTGACCTCAATTTATAAGCAAGCCGCTTTTTTATAAATTCTAATTAGCAGAATGAGGGCAGTCCATCATTTCTAATTAACAGGATAAGGGCAGTCCATCACTATATATAACCCAAATTAATTAACTCTGCTCTCCCGTTACTTATACTAAGTTACAGGGCCGAAAAAAAAATTGCCGTAAAATATCGAATACGCCAATTTGAATCTATAGTTCAAAACAAACTATAAGAGCCTTTCACAAAACTAACAAATGCTTTAAATTGAAAATATCTAAGCTCTATATAGAAGCACCACATAGACTAAAGTGTATCGATTTCTTCTATGGACCATTCAACAGAATATGGGACCACACTCAAGTTTAGGATGGGCAATTGGCCTTTACATAGCACAACAAGGTTCAGTTTTGACACTTTCGGAGGGCGTTTGCTTGCCATGAAACCCTTAGGGCCGGTCTCTTAGTTTCTTCTTCTCTATGTTTCATTTTAAAATTGAAGGGTTTAATTTTCAAAGCTGGTAGAGGGTCCTCTCTCCTACAATTCTCTACACAAAATGATTGATTATGCACAATATCTCTATCACATTTGGCCAAATCTGTATTTCATACTCTGAGTTTGAGTATGCCATACTCCTGCCAGGTACATTATACATTTTAGATATTTCTACTAGTTCCCATTCCTAAACTGCCCCGCAGCTTCAAGGAAATGATTGTGTGAGTTGTTTTGCCCAAAAACATTTGAAAAACGTTTTGGAGATGATTACATAAATTTTTCCAAAAACACAATTACGTTTGTATAAATCCATTATAAAGTTTAGAACAGAAGTGTTACAAATTAAAATACAATCCCATAAATACAATATCTCATACGCGCACAGTATGAGTGCTGCTTTCTGTGATGGGAATAATGATATATTGTCTTTTATTGTTTGAAACTAAGAACGCAATGGAACATTAATGAAGGACAAAGACTCACTAGAAGAAATGGTCAAAAATTAACTATTCCGCATTGTTCGCATGGTGATGAAATCAAGGACAATTTGGTCATTTAGAAAACAAGATGAGATTGATTACCAATAGAGACTGCCCACGTGGACCCCATGTAAAGAGTGAGAAAAAGCTATACAATCCTCCGCGTCTGCAGGGGATTAGAAGCAAACCAGCAAGAATTGGCCATGATGACAAAAAAATTGTGCGACATCTAAGTGGGACCCAAGGTGTATTAGAGAAGCCGCATCCCCATTGGTTACGGCCAAGTTCTGCCATCCAAATGGTGCCTCGTCAGCACTAACGGAAGGGTAAAACGAATGATGCCTCACAGCCCACATGATTGATTGATGTTTGGGGCCCCACTTGATTGATTCACAGGCCCCACATCATAAAGTCCAAGTGTTGCACTTTTGCATTTTATATATGCATATCTCATTATTAATTTTTAGTTGCACAAGGACAAGATTGTTTCCCTGATTAGGTGTTCCGCGACACTATTGGGGCCAACGTTTTTTTACCACACGTGTTTGGCAAGTAAGATGAGCTTAAAAATAACATAAGAAATGTGAGATGATGTAATATTATATGGTTGTGATGTGATATTTTAGTGATAAATCATCATCATTGAAATTTTAGCTTCGACTATTACAGCAAATTTAAAACATGTTGATATATTCCATCTTCTTTTCTATGTTATTTACAACTATATCTTTTGTGTTTTCATTATTGAAATAAGACAAATACAATAGTGACTAAATTGCAATACTAGCATCCAAAATTATCCATTTCGTTTACTAAAAATTAGAGTTTATTTTCTTTTTACCTATTAAAGTTTGTAATAAATGAAATTAATTATCAACTATTATATTTGGATTTAGTAAATACACCGAAAACATAAATACATGTAAGTTTTATCTTTATGATTATCGGTTTTTAATTAAGAATACATATAAAATAAATAAATAATTAAAATATTTATTTTAAGAAAACCATATTTGGATGGGGAAATAGTGTGAGTAAAAAGGATTATTTCACCATTTCTATTAAGTGATGTAGATTGACATAAGACGAGCAAGGCTTCTTAAAATAAACCAACCAAAGTGTCTACATTGATATTGGTTAGTTTAGTTCAATATTACGATTTAAATTGCAACTTAAAACAATTACAATTGTAATTAAAAGTTCATTTTTGTTGTTATAATTGTACATGAATTCATTATAATTTTTAATTGTGATTTTTTTCTTATAATTAAAATACTGTTTGTAATCAAATTTGATAATTGTTATTAAAGGCAACTCCAATAACGATGCTCAACTACCCTAAAAGCAAATTACAAAACCAAATCTTTAAATTAATCATCCAACGGTTGAGAGACCATTCAGACCATTGAGATGGTGCCTTCATATATATACCAATTAGTAGAAGCCTAGAAGGTTTGGTAATCAATGCTGGCAGCTTT